AAAAACCCCCGGTCAAAACCTAAACACAAAACCCAAAAAAAAAAAAAAAAAAAAAAAAAAAACACACACACACACAATTAAAACCAAAAATCTTAGAATTCGTAATCAACCCTGCCAATATAAAAGCTTGATATACGGAAAACCAAAGATACAATAGCCCAAAAAATCGCCAAGCTATCCAAGATCTCACAACACAATTCAATGAAAGCCAAATAATTCTGTTAGCAAGTTCAATAAGCTTGTAATCATCTCATTTTCCCAACTGCAGAACTGAAAATGCTAGAGACGTCAATTGCAGTTCTAACCTCACGTTTCAAGTTTTTAACTTTCAAGCATAGCATTTGATTAGAAAAACTGAAGCAAATAATTCTACTAGCAAGCTAGTACTCGTACAATTTTACTAAAGCAAAATTGCGAAAACTCCTAATTTCATATCACAAAGCTCATAATTATGATTAGGCAAGTCTATAACCGAGTTGATATAGTTGTTTATAAAGTTTAGAACATGCGTTGTGCTTTTCTCTTTAAGGGATACCTTATCCTCTTCCCCGTGTATTTGAGCCATTTATAAACATAGGAAGTTTTCTTATTAAAAAAACATAAAAATTATAAAACATGTTGGTCTGCAAAAAATATTCCAATAAACCCAACACTCCGTTTTACCTTGAAATTCATGTCGAGGGCATCCAAATGCATCTCGTCGATGGCAGGAATCAACTTCTCTCCCATTTCCTCAAAGGCTTCAGTCAACACACTCGTCTTTTCAGGGCCAAGCCTCTGAGCAAGCCTCTCCCCATCAGCATCGTCACCAACATTAAGCCACGTATCCTTCTCATCCTCCTCTTCCTTCACAAACCTCCCTCTTCCTCTCCCTCTGCCTCTGCCTCTGCCTCTACCTCTTCCTCTTCCACCATTTGCTTCGTTCCGCGAAAACACCTCCATTGCGTGCTTCAACGCCTCCTCCTGGCTCATTTTTGGCGCAGCCGAAGCTGCAACCGCCTCTTTTGGTTTAGATTCTTTCACCACAGCCGACTCCGGAGCCCACCGCCGCTGGACATGTCGATTCACATGTTGTTGGATCTCTGGCTGCTTTTCCGGTTGTCCCCTCCCTACTCCAGGCAGCAATGAGGCAATACTCTCTGGCATAGAGCCGCCATCATCCACGGCTACTGGAGGAGCTTCTTCCATGTCCTGGATCTCTTGTTGTGGTAGCGGAGGAGGCGGAGGCAGAACGGTTTTGAAAGAGGAGCCTCCTCTGCCGCGACCGGCACCAGAAGAGATGGAGGAGGAGAAGGAAGGGATGATTGGGGAGACAGGAGGTAGGGGCTGGCCCCGGCCGCGGCCACGGCCATGATCATGACTTAGAGGCGAGGCTTCCTGGGGTGTCAGCGGTGCCTCATCGGGTGGCTGGCCCGGGGCCCGCGGAGGTGTGGAAAAGTCGGATCGAGGGGGAGGGGCACCACGGCCACGACCACGGCCGAAGGAGGAGGTGGAGAAGGTAATTAGGGTTTGCCTGGTGGAGGGATTTATTGGGTATGGAAGCTTTGCTCCAATGGCGGCTGTGGTTCGTCTCATCTTGGCATAAATAAAATACAAGTTAGCATCAAGGTGTGCAGATCATATAAAAAACAATAGTCATATTAGTATGAAGGCATGCAGATCAAACAACAAAACAATAGTCTGATTAGTTTAAGGTGTGCAGATCAAATAACAAAACGGAGAACCCATAAAGTAGGGATTTTTATACCTATACCCTGTCTGTTTTGCCAAAACAACAGAAACACCCCCTTGAGCAAAACAAATTTACTTGCCTGACTTCAAAAAAACAAAAAATGCGCATACCTGTTCTATTAGTTAACCATAACTATTGACCCAAGTTTGACCGCTAAATTTTTTCCAGCCATGTAGCCAAAAATGACTTTTTCTTCAAAGTCCCTTTTTAATAGTAACATTGTTGGACAATTTACACATATTTGAAAATGATAAGTGATATTCTCCATCCACTAAAGTAGCATGCTATATAGAAACATATCTTTCCCAAAGTATATCTAGAGCTTTATTTAGTACAAACTGCAAAGTCACTATATGAATATATATTTTTATAATAGTCCAAAATAAATCAAGATATGAAGAAAAAATTACAGTCCACAATAAGTAATCAAGCCATAATATGAAGACAAAAGTCACAAAGTTAAATGTCATAGTGATATTGCTTGAAATTTTTTTGAATGAAACTTCCTCAAAAAGAAGAGAATATTATTAAAGAAAGAAAAAAGAATACAATATTGCTTGAAATTTTGATATCAAAGTTTGTATAAAAAAAGTGATATCAAAGTAATCATAAAATCAAATATTTTACAACTCCAAAATCATACCAATTTCCCTCCAATATCAAAACTAATTCCACAAATCACAAAGAAATCTCACAAAAATGAACTTGTGACAATAAAAATATCAAAATATTCACATAAACCAATTAACAAATATCAAACTAATATCAATCTTCCAAAACAAGTGAAATAATCAACCAAAAATCACAAATAGCTTAAGACACAAACTAATTGAAATAACAATTTTCACCAATATCAACCAAAAAATCGAAAAACAATTTCCAACAATCAAACAAATTCCAAAAACATCAATCAGTAGTCAAAAAATTCCACAAATAGACCTGTTCATTATCTCCATTGTTCCAACTCATCAATGTCTCAATCTCATCCTCACAAGGCAAACCAATTTGCAAATTATAACAGGGGTTAGTTACCTTTTTTGTCCCCTGTCTTATAGGTTTACTCAGAAAGTAAACCGTTATTTTTTATCTCATTAAATGCATATCATCAGATTTCATTTAACACGTCAATTCATACATTTTTCCCGGTCAACACTCGATTTTGACCTCAAAATGCCTTAACTGCCATTAAAAACATAATTCTTAAAATTGAAAAAAAAAAAAAAAAACAACTAAAATAGTTTTCAATACTTGCAATATATTACATCAACTTTTATTGCACTAAAACATCAGAATCAACGTCATAAAGTTAAATAAGCAAAAGATTCTAAGTCCAACAAATATAAGCTTAAATATTGAGTCCATTGCTTCCAGAAAAAAAAAAACAAAAAAACAAAACAAAAACAAATTTACTGTTTCATTTCATTGTCCAAACGATTGGATTGTTCTTGTTAAATCTCAGCCCTTTCAAGTTCCTTTAATTCGAGCAAATTGACACGTAATATGAAACTGTAAGAAATATTGAAAACAAAGGCCGTTTAGTTCGTTGATTCGAGTTTTTAATTCAAGTTGAAATGTGATTTTATGCGAGTTTTTTACTGTAGTAAAAAGTTAGATGTGATTAATTTTAAGAGCTTTTTACTGTAACAAAACTCGAATTTTAAACTCAAATTGGTGAAATGAACAGGCGCAAAGAAAGTTTGTACACTGGGGAATTTAATCAAACATTTGGAGGGCAGAAACGAAAAACAACACTCGTAGCGACAAAATTAACACACAATTCTTCATTTCCCCAAATTTCAACAACTTTTTGAACCCAACTACCAAACGAAATCAACTTCATAAAAAAAAAAAAATAGAAAGAATTAACTTCATCAAATTAACACAAAATGTAGACGTTTCTCCACACACAAAAGTTCGACGCAACTTTCTTCACAAATCTATCAGACTAACCTCCAAAAACCAAAAGGTAACCTTCAAGATCGCTTCTAACGGCCCGGGACGACCGCCGGTGATCGTGGCGGCAAAGAGAGGCTCGGCGGATTGAGAGAAGGGCTAACGCGACGGCGCTCGCACGGGGAGAGAATCTTCGGCGCTTGCGACGGCGCTCCGTCGCTCACACGGTCGACTGTGCGCGTTCGTTCGACCTCCGGTTGGGGATTGGGGCGTGTCACTGACACTGATGATCTCTATCAGAGCTCTAGGGCTTTTTTTCAAAATGCACTTGTTAAATCCTTATATTGCAACAATTAGGATTGCCTTTCTTATTTGATAGTTTTTTTTTTTTTGGTAATTTGCATAGATGGTCCCAAATTCTTTAGTAAGTGACAGTTTAGTTTCTAATTTTTTTTTTTAACAAATTAATTATCAATTTATTTAAAAGGTGACAGTTTGATCTTTTATGTCAAATTCCGTTAAATTTTTAACCGTGACTATTTTCAATAAAATGACTTAAATGCCCTCATTAGCAAAGCCCACACTTTTCACTTTCGCAGTCCCTCATCGGAGAAACGACAATGCCATTATGATCCAATTCACACAGACCAAAACAAAGAGAGAAAAAGTGTTGTTGACGGTATTTTTTTGACAACTCGTAATTACCTTTTCGAGAATTCTCACAGTAAAACTCACGGGTTAATTAGAGATTAAAGCAATGAACTAATGTAAAGAAGATAATGATTTATAGTGGTTCGCCAAGATTTATTGGCCTAGTCCACTTGTGGATGCACTAATATTTCTAAGATTACAAGTTCTTTCTTCTATAATGGAATAGTGCCTAACCCTTCAATGGGTCTTTTGGCTCTATTTATAGGCCTTTACATATAATGATCTCATATGCATTCCCCGAGGGAGCAATCTTCTATCCCGGGATTTAGGGGTGGCGTAGGTGCATTTTCATGATGACAATCTCAGGAAATCAGGCCAACCTCTCCTACTGACTACCAGACTTCCTGGCTGTGATAGTAGCAGTTGGCACAGTGCATCCTTCCCTGAGTTGACAAGATTGTTGATGGATTTTACTAAACATGCTGCCTCGACGTAATGGCCACCACAAGTTAAGTCATGGTGGTCGACGCGCATCGCCCGGCACGGGCTCTCGACGTCCAAAGGGCACTTTAGCTACAGCGGTTTCCTCGACGCCAGTGACCGGTCCCCAACAGGGAGTCCTCGGCGCTTGTCGTTCGAGGGAATGGTCGATTGCTCGACCATGATGTAACAAGTGTGAAAATGACAACACGATGGGTTGTTGTTCGAGCACAGCCTCCTCAGCCCCCAAACAAAAAAATCGCATTACCCATTCTCGATCCGACGGTGGAGAGAGCAAAGCACCACCGCTGATGGTTGAGAAAGAGACCGTTAAGGAAGTTTTGTCGGAAACCCCGAGACTAAAGCCCAAAGTACACAAATCCATACCCATTGTAAGTGACCCAGAACTAGAAGAAGAAAACAAAGAAGATGATGGAGACAAAAGCACCAATACGATTGGTACTACTATGACGCCGAGCCCTAAGCCAGTTTTCCCCATTATCAAGCTCCACGTCGAGAAGAAGGTTTCGGAGCTCAAGAACGTCAACGAAGAGATCTCGGAGTTTTGCAGCCTCAGCTAGAGTGTCTCCACGACAACGAAAAGACGACGATGAGGTTGCCCTGAGGGTTTACAGGTCTCCAATAAGGCACCGTCGCACAGTCCCAGCGACCCCACCCAGATCTGCGAGCCCCGACGTCGAGAAAGAAGAGAGAGAGATATACTGTAGAAGGATAGTGTTTTTGGAGATGAAATTTGGGGAAAAAAGAAGAAGAAGGCTTTTTTAATGGGCGCATTTAGGTCATTTTATTGAAAAAAAGACTCAATGGGTCACGTGATATGTCCTGTTAAAAATTTAATGTAATTTCACAGAAATGATCAAACTGTCGCCTTTTAAAAAGGTTGGGGTCGTTTTGTTAAAAAAAATTAGAGACCAAACTGTTACTTATTAAAGAGTTTGGAGGCCATCTGTGCAAATTATCTTTTTTTTATTAAACTTTATTTTAAAGTTCTTAAAAAAATTGCAGTAAATAGTATATTTTAAAATTAAATTAAGTAAATAGCATATTTTAAAATTATTTATAGTAAATAGTTATTTACCGCGTAAATATTTAATTACGATTGGTAAAAAAATAATTTATGTATTAAAAATTATTTATTTATGTAGAAAAAATCTTTTTAGTAGTCGTAAAAATAATATTGACGTGAAAAAAAATATTTTTATTAGTCATAAATGAAATATTTACGTCATAAACTGTTATTTATTTTAAATGATTTTAAAACATACTATTTACTTAATTTAATTTCATAAATCTACTATTCACTACATTCTCCCTTTAAAAATGACTAGTTTATGTTGAGATTTACTAAAATATTTTTGGGTTGAACCATTAATATTTCTTATTATATATGAATAAATAGAGTTCTTATTAGACATAAAATAATCTCTATCATTTTAAAGAACAAAATTTAGGATGCACTACTTAAGAATAAAAGTTAGATCATCATTTTAAAATATTTGTGCTAATTTAGCCTTTTTATCAAATTGAATCAAAATATTTTGAAATCTACAAAGAAAGAATGAATAATTTTGAATTTTAACACTGCAAAAAGAGAGTCTTTGTGAATAAGAAAATGTGCATTTTTTATTGTAAAAAAAGGGACTAGATTATTAGCTCAAAATTTCAATAAAAAAATGTATCCATTATAAAGAGATTTTGTTATTGGTTATTAGATTAGAGTCTATTAGAATGTTGCTTATTTTTTACTTGTTACAAATTAGTTTACCAAGTCATCAAGATTCTATAGATGTCAAAAGTGTATTTTTTTTAATGGATACCAATTAAAAAAAGTATAAATAGAAAACATCCATGTTTTCAAAATCATAAGAGTGTGTTTTCAAATTGAAACAAGCTCCTAGAGTTTTTTCTAAAAACAAACACGGATACTACTTTTATTAAAACCAGGGTGACAACAATTGCAAGTTTTGGTTAAACTTAACATACTTCATTGTTTTGGTATTAAATATATATATATATATATGCCAGACAGGCAATTAGTTCTAAATGAAATCACATCCACTTTTAAGGACATATATATAATATAAAGTCGAATTTCAAACAGTAACACTAGGAAAACAAGAGTACTCCCGGTAGTTTTTAAGGCCAAACAAGAAATACTAAACCAAACAAAAGTTCTAACTTCAAATTAACGTTATAACTTAGGTTTAAATTGCCATAATTTAAACCCGCAAATCAAATGGCGCCTTAGTCTTCCTTTCCGAGAAGAGCGAGGAGGAAGGCCTTGTAATCCCCTGAAGTCTCCTTGGCAACAGCATCATCAAGGGAGATACTATTCTTCTTGTAATAAACCTCCTTGATGTCTTTCAAGTCCTTCTCTGCCCTTGTCACAATCACTCTAGTCACCGAATCCTCATCAGTTCCAAACCTCTTGATTCCATCACACAGCAGCTACACATGAATATGCATCAAATTTTAAGAATATTATCATTAGTCCATTTAGATTAAATTGGTAATAGTTTGTTACATTGTAACAAATTAGGTCTCGTTCACTTCACTGATTCGAGTTTAAAATTTGAGTTTTGCTACAGTAAAAAGTTCTCAGAAACAGTCACATCTAACTTTTTGCTACAGTAAAAAGCTCTCACATAAAATCACATCTCAACTCAAATTACAAACTCGAATCAGCGAAGTGAACGGGTCCGTCGTTACAATACTAATTTAGTTTTGTTCATGTATGTAAAATTTTAATCACCTTTGCGTAGTACTTGAGAGGGTCGTTTGTGCATCGAACCGTCGTATGCAGCGCCTTCTGGAAATCGTTTGCAGACTCACCCAACAAATCCTGTGAAAATCAAAAACCAGATTCAATTTGAAGGTTTGTTGCCTACTTACCATCAAATTTTTGGAATTATTGTTACTGGTACTCAGTAAATTTTTCTTATTTAATTGGGAATGTTTCTTGTCATCAATACTTATATGGTAGTGATACTAATTGTAAGCAATTAAAATTAAATCTCAACGTGATATTAAAAAAATGGGGATAAAAGATACATAAACATCTAAAGGGATGTATATTCCTACTATTTATTTTTTTAAAAAGATATCTCGTTGATATATCTTTTGTCTATCTATCATTGATTCCATCTATAAATCAAGTCGAAAGACTTTGTTTTCAGGTTTTCCAAATGGATCGGATCCTTTCTGCCAACAAAATGAACACGGAGTCCGTTTCGAATGCTTCTCCGATCCGGAAGTTCTCGGGAAGAGAATAAGATGCTACCTAACATAATCTTTTGATATATGTATTGTTTAAATGAAAGTGACATGATAGCAAGTAAACGTTGCATCCAAAATTTATTGGGAAAAAAAAGTTGTATTTATACAAAATCAACTATTAAAAGATACAGAATTATCAAAATAAATAAATAAACGATACAGAAAAAAAAAAAAAGAAGAAAAGATGTTAGGAGTAAATATTGTAATATATACCTTAGTGATGGAAGTCTTGTTGACATCTCTGTAGTGATTGAAGGTAGCATTGAGCTGTGCCTTGCTCCTTGTACTCAAAATCCTAATGACTTCCTCATTGTTGAAAGCTTTGTCTTTGATGGCCTCATGAAGAATATCGGCTTCGGAACTCGCCAATCTTGCATTCACCTCTTCCCCATTGTAACGGTATGTGCTCACCAACCCCACCAAAAGCTGTAATTTTTAACCACAAAAACCCCATCAAAGTCTTTAAAGTTACAAGCTTAGCATTTTTTTTTTTTTGCTAGTAACTACGCTCCCGTTCACTTCGCTGATTTGAGTTTGTAATTCGAGTTGAGATGTAATTTTATGTGAGAGCTTTTTACTGTAGCAAAAAAGTTATATGTGACTGTTTCTGAAAACTTTTTACTGTAGCAAAACTCAAATTCTAAACTCGAATCGGTGAAATGAACGGGGCCTATAAGTTACTAGCTAAGTAATAAGTAGCTATAAATTTAGTCTTATCCATTCCTATACAAACACTTGCCTTTATATTATCAGGTGAAAATGCAATTTTTTAAAAATTTTGAGGGGGGTAAAAATATAACTTTTAGAAAATATTTGTCATGTAAAATTTCAGTTTGACCCCTCAATTTTTTAAAAGTTACAGTTTAACCCAAAATTTTATAAATATTTGCAAACACATCCCTTCAATTCTTTAAAAATGTAGGTCTCGTTCACTTCGCGGATTCAAATTTTCAATTCGAGCTGAGATGTGACATTTTTTGAGAGCTTTTCACTGTAACAGAAAAAGTTAGATGTGATATTTTATGAGAGCTTTTTATTATAAAAATCTAGAGCTAAAAACTCGAATCGGTAAAATAAACAAGACATTAATCTTCACATATTAGAATCTAATCATTTCCGATCTTCCTTAATCCAGCGCACCGAACAAAGTATAAGAAATACATGCCTTTTGGAGATCTCCTGTGGTGCGAGCGGCCACATCTTCCTCCAAGGAATGTTTGTTGCGATTTTGGTATGCTCTCTTCACACCCAACAGCTCTTCAGGAGATAAAATGCAAGAGAGTTCAATTATCGCTTTGAAGTCCGTCTCTGATTTCCTTAAGGCCACATTTGCCAGAACAGCATCTCTGTCTTCAGGCTCCAGTACCCAGCGGTACACAGCTTTCTAATTTCAACAAAATGGACGTTTTTAGTTGACGTTTAGTTTATAAATTTAAAAATTGATTAAGATCATTGATTAAGATCATTGTCATAAGTTCTTCAGATAATTAAAAATAAAACTCGTAGTAGTAGTATATGTTGAGATGCCTAACAGCGTTTGGTTCATGAGTTTAAAATTATGGTTCATGATTCTGATTTCTTAAATTTAATTTTTTTGTGAGAGAAAAACATTGTAGCAGAACTAAGAACCATGTTCCTTAATCAAACGGAAACTTTAAAACAAATGTCACCTTAAATTTTTTTATTAAGAAATAAATTCTATAGCATGAAAAATCAACAATAAAAGGAAAAGTAAAGAATTACATATATACATATATATAGGAGTAATTAGGAATGCTACGATCTTTTTTTTTTTTTTTTTACTCCCAATTTTATGTTATTTTCTTTTTCAGGTGTATTCTTCTCGTTCCACGGAAAATGTGAACTTTATTGCAAGTTATTACATATAAGAGAAGCAATTGAATTACAATTTACAAGTTTCACTAAGGAGTTGTTTAGTTGAGAGATTCGTACCCCGATTCGAATCATGATTCGTGATTCGTTACAGTATTTCTCTTACAAAAAATACACGTAAATAAAAAATAATTTTAATCTCATAATTTTAATTCATGAATCAAACATCTTATACGTTCAAGTTTCGCTGAGTTGCATAGAGAGAGATTTGCAAACAATCAAACAATAAAGACTCTTTTCTCAATCCATCATTATCCAAACCAATGACAAGATAAATTTCTAAATAAGATTATTTAAAATTATATTAAATTAAAAAAATTATAAAATTTAACAGAATTTATCGACCACGTAACAATTCAAAATCATATCTCTTGTTATATAATTCTCAATGGAAAAAAAAAGAAGAAGAATTAAGAAGCACCAAGTGCTTATAATAGATTAGGTACTAGCAAAAAAAGAAACATAAAAAAGAGTGAGAATTAGGTGAAATTCTGACTCCACTATTTCACATTGTAACTAGACGACAAAATTTTTGTCCTTCGGAGAATCAGAGTTCAGACATTTTTAGTCAGTTTCACACCAATTTATACTTCGACAGAAACTATGACGACAAAACCGTCTGGCGATGAAAACAAGGTTATTACTAATTGTCCATATTTATATAATTTTTTTAAAAGCAAAAAACATAATTTTTTTTTTTTTTTTTTGCTAAAAGATAACAGAAATAAAACGTATCTTTATAATAACGATATATTTATGCAAGTTCAAAAATAACAACAATGATTATATATATATATATATACATATATTGCTTGAATAATAAAAAATATAATGATATTATATATGGGTTATAATAAAACTAGAGATGGACCTCAAAATCGCCGGAAAGCTCCGACTCAAGACGCTTGACAAGATCCTCTTCGAATAGCTGCTCATATGATTCTCTGATTTGCTTCCTTTGAGACGCATTTCTGTGCCCCAACACCTTTATTATTGCCTTCTCATCCGTCCCCCATCCTACAATATATAGTATAAATATTGTATATATAATACACGCACACAAAAACAATTAAAATATAGAAACAAAAAAAAAAACATCACTTACATATTATTCTAGAGAGAACATTTTCAAAAAACAAAAAATTCTACGGTAATATATATATATATATATAATTTATGATAAAGTCTCAAATTCGACATTAAATTAGAGCGGCACATATATTTTTTAAAAAATATGTATATTTTCTCTTAAAAACATATATTTCATACTTATTAAGATGAAATATATATATTTTTTAAGAGGAAATACACATATTTTAAAAGAAAAATTCCTATAATTTGTAGCAAAAAATCATACAATGTATCTACTATCTAGAGAGGGAGAGAAAAAACATGAGAAATGTTGTTATAAAATTAATTTATGAGTGAACCTTTACAAGCTTTCCGAAGAACTTCTGCGTCCTCAACCGGAGAAGCGTTGGCTAGAGAAATGAGTGTTGCCATTAATGTTGATGAGGTCTTTTTCTTTGGCGAGGGTTATGCCTTTTTTTTTTTTTTTTTTTTTTTTTTTTTTTTTTTTTTTTTTTTTCTGTTTTCCTTCTTCTGATGGTTATTTTGTAGTTTGTAGTGTTGAAAAGACAATGAAACTCCCTTATTTATACATGTGTATGGCAGTGTTATTTTATGGTATATTGGCCTTACAACATCCAATAAGATTCTCTTACAAAATTAGTATATTATTATATTAATTAAATGGACAAAGAATATGTTAAAAATGGACATCTATTGTGTGAATTAGAATTAAACCAGGGTTAGGTGAGCAGCTTTGTCAAATTGGCAATCTGTAATTAATAGGTATATGTATTTGGTATGACATGGGGTTGTTTGTTTGGGGGATTCGTACCCCGATTCGAATCATGATTCATGATTCGCTACAGTATTTTATCTCACAAAAAATACACGTAAATTAAAAATGGTTCTAATCTCATAATTTTATTTTCATTTCGACCTTGTCCTTAACACAACTCAGTAGTCAGATTTCCATGGATACGGTCATCAATTACTTGCAAATTTTTCAATTAAGGGCCCACCATGGTACCATTAGTTGCAACAATTCCATATATTTTACCACTTTCCAGCAAAAAATTAAAAAAAAAAAAAAATCCCCATATTTTACTACTCAGTATCGGCGGTGCATTCCACAGGTTATAGTACTACGTACTATGTGTTTTATATTTGATTAGAGATGTTTTGATTAAATAGTATTTCTTTAATATGATGTGTGGCATGTGAAACCATTAAAATTTGAATCTCACCCTTCTATAGTAGGATAAAATAAATATTGTATCACTATAATACGGTTCAGAACCATTAAATTTTCATTAAAAGCTTCTCCTATAATCCTCAAAACTACAATATTTAAAAAAAAAAAAAATTATATGTGTTGACTTGAACTTAGGACATATTACATTAAATAAGACATAATCACTTATAACTTAATCTCATTTTGAAACTACATGTTTATAAAGAGGTTGGTAAAATAATAATTGCAAAATAACTCATTTTTTTCCCTTCAATTATACCAAACAACTAAAAAGAAAATTATTATCTTTTCCATCATTCCCATTTTATATATCTTATATCATTTTTTCTCCATCTTATTTTATACATGTCATTTGTCATTTCCAATATATTGCTTATAGTATATATACTTTTAAATATATAAATGGATCATAAATAATTAAAAAAAAACACACACATTACGAAACTACAAACAAAAGAGCACGATAATCCGTGTTAAAGAATATACCTTGGCATGCCTTTCTGAGAGCTTCAGCATCTTCAACAACAGAAAGGTGGTCTGGTGCAACAAGAGTAGCCATTACTGATTAAAATCTCTTTTTATCTTTTTCTTTCTCTCTTTTCTTTCAGGAATATTACAAATATTGTAAATGCTTCTTAACTTTGCTAAGTACTTATGAGAGCCCTCCTATTTATAACACGAAGATGCTTATAGAAATTAACGCCAGCTCACATTAATCATGCTTGGACGTACGTTACTTTCTTTTAGATCTGAATTACAAAACGTATTTCATTTCTTTGGTATCCTTGGAAAATCTATGGCCGTGTTTAAAATTGATCCCGTTTTTATTTTTTATGTTTTTTAAGAAAGAAAAAATAAAAATGTTTCTAAAATGACGTTTGGCGCAATAAAGACAAAAAGCAGAAATGCAAACGATTTTTTGGTTTAGTGTAAAATGAATGAGAGAGTAGTTATTTTTCATTTTCTCCTCTCTCCAACAGAGAGAGAAAGAAGACATTAATGAGTTTTTTATACTGAAAATAATCTCTTGATAAAACTACTAAACGCATTTTTAAAAATAATTTTTGTCTAAGATTAAAAACGTTTTCATTTTCATACAAAAAATAAAATCATTTTGGAATATAAGAGATTAAAAAATCGTTTTCATTTTCGTTTTTTATCTTTAATTGTGTCAAACGTCGTTTTAAAATCGTTTTTATTTTTTTTCTCAAAAAATGTGAAAAATAAAAACAAAAACAATTCTAAACACGACATATGTTTTGTTCTTTTTTTTTTTTTAATTTAGAATATAAGAGATTTAAACTTATCACTTTATAATAGAGTCGGGTATAAAATTACAGCTAGACGATGTCTCCAACCTGATTGTCACTTTTTCTTTAATTGCATTACAATATGTCATATCGGTGGTATGCAAATGTAATATGCAATTAGTCTAATAACGGGTTTTGGCATGTTTTTGTGCATGGTGGACATGTGTTACGAAAGAATAATATATTGTTTTCTTTTTTGCTGGAATATTATGCCATTATACGTTCTTTTTCTGATCAGTTCCTTTTTTCTCCCTTTTATATTTTTTTTATCGCTGTACTTATCAGCTTTGTCCTCTCCCCTATCATGTGCATTATAAAGAGAAAGTAATTAAAATGAAAAAAAAAAATGATATATTATTGTACAGTTTGATATTTCTGTAGGTTTCTCGTGTTATTAATTCATGCACATGCATCCTTTCGTTTTCTTCGACTTGAAGCAGTCTCGGAACACTTGAGCAAGAATATAAAAAAAATAAAAAAAAATAAACGGATAATAGAAAATAGAAAATAAACAAAAAATAAGTATCATGTTGAAATTGTTTCATATAGATTAAAATACACATTTAATCGCTCATATCTTCATGTAGTCCAACCTAACTTTGTTCACAGACACTGTATCAGATAATTTTCACTCAAGTTTTAAACAATTGTCTAATGTTCTTGATAAAATTAAGAATTAGAGAATTTTAAGGGAAAAGGAAATAACTTTTAAATCAAACTTAAGAGTATAAATGAAAATGTTTAAAACATTAAGCAAAATATTTAGAAATATCAAAAATTTGGGGAGGAGAGAAGAAAAATTGGGGTATAATAATAATTTTTTAAAAAATATAGGGAGCTAGTTGGGCCCCAGTATTGCAAAACCCTTCCTCTTCGGGTTCTAGCCTAGTCTTTTTTAGAGTGTATGGGCATGAATATTAACCCTTTAGTTTTAATTAATATGTTTTTTTAGTTAAACAACTATATATGCAAATTCAGATTAAGAGTGAAAATAAGAGATTAAGAATAATGGATGAAAATTTAGATTCATGTACTCTAAAAGTATATTCTCTATATTAGTCAAAAATAAAAGGTGAAAATCACTCTAAAAGTGTGTTCAATAATTTTTTCTCCGTTCTTCTTTTTTTCTCCTCTGCTATTCATCATCCTAAATTTTGACAATTCTTCTTATTAGAGGGGACAGAGTTCCCTTTTAAGTATGGTTGTAATAAAATGTTTAAATTTATTTCTTTATTTTTTTCTTTTGTGTTTTATGTTGTCTGTTATTATTATTATTATTCATATTATTTAATACAATGTGAGATTAAACTCACACCCTCTCAAATTGAACTCTTATCCCGTCCCATGCCATCTAATCAAGTAGTCACTGGTGGTGTGGTTTCTTATTAGATCTAGCTTATAAGTGTCAACCATGGAAGATTTTAGATAGACAAAGATTGACAATGACAATTAGTATCTAAGGGTGCGTTTGCTAGATGGATCCAGAATCATAATTTTAGATCCTGGTTCAAAATCAGTGTTTGTTTAAATTGATTTTGAATCATGATTCATAATCAGTGTTTGGTTTGAATGATTCTGAATCTGATGCGATGTTTTAAACTAGCTCAAATGATAATTCTAAAACCACCCTCTCTTTATTCAAGGTGATTCAAACCCCTGATTCTAAATAATGGTTTCAGAATCATAATTTGAACCCAAAATCATGAATCATGATTCTAATTTTAAAATCATGATTAGAATCACCTTAGTTTGAATTCTCATATCAAACGAACCCTAAATAACTTACATACTTGTATAGCTTGATTTTGTCTCCTTTACAAAGTCACGTGCAAATTGAAAAAATTGTGTGAAGAAGTCTCCATGTTCTTTAGTAGAAGTAAGGATTTTTTATGGTAAAGAAGGTTATTTAATTATGCTGGTAGGAACTATTGTTTTTAATTGTTGTATTTATTTTTTAACTATTAGATTTATGTATGTTTGCATTAAAAATTTATATTGCACAACACAAAAAACTACTCATATTGCAGATCATACTGTTAAAAAAACTTATTTGACAGGTAAAACATAGAATTATTATTATTTTTTTGATTATGAATATGATTAGCATTACAATGTTTAGTATTTGTTGCTGCCTTTTATAGGCTTAGTTTTTGTTTTTAGTTTGCACCTTTAATCATGTGTTGATAATTTCTCTCAGCACCACTCGTGATATTAAGCGAGCAATCACAAGTTTGTGTTTGAGTGTTTCCTGGTATATGCTTCTCTACTTCATGAATAGGCCTCGTTCACTTCGCGGATTCGAGTTTTTAATTCGAGCTGAGATGTGACATTTTCTGAGAGCTTTTCACTGTAGCAGAAAAAGTTAGATGTGACATTTTCTGAGAGCTTTTTACTGTAAAAATTTAAAATTAAAAACTCAGATCGGTGAAATAAACGAGGCCTATAATTTAGTATCAGGGCAGAATTTTCATTGAAAATATACGAAAAAGTAACATTTTTTATTTATTTATAAATAAGAGTCTAGGAAGGTGGCGCTTAATATTAACATGCCTTCTCTAGATGTTAGCCAAAGAGTTCCTCAAATATTGGCAATAATTTTTGTTGAAGATCTTACGGTTAAGCCATTCATCGACGAGAGTTGTATTACTCTCAACTCTATTAAACCTGCTAACACTAAGGATACATGAGGGCATAATCCTAGGTACTCTGAATCCAGAGTATTAACATATTTTTGAACGTTACATGGACCGATGAGATTAAAAGAAGTTTAACTGTTGAGATTGGTCTAGGTTTCTATCAATTTTGTTAAGGGCTTGTTCGTTTATAGATAAACTTGAACTCAAGTTATAATTTTATTTAAGTTTATATTTTTTTTTTTTGTAAAATTTGAGTTTAAACTTGAATTAACTTGAGTTTGGGGTTAAAATATGAGTTTAAGTTTCCCCTTCAACTCAAGTTTCTAAACTCAAACTCAAATGAACAATATTTTTTCTATTTTTAAAAAAGACCATCACTTTTTCGTTTTAATTCCGATTGAGATGGTTTTTTTTCTATGCGTTCACAACGAAGAGATGAATAAAACCTCACCCATATACGCAATTAAAATTTTTCATCACTATTGAGTTTATATTAAAATACTATCAAAATACAAATTTAAGTTTTGACCCACCTAAACACAAACTCAAATAGATTCTCAATTCAAACTATAACTCAAAATGTGCACATCCAAACACAAACTCAAATTAGAGTCTCAACTCAAACCACACTAAAATACACCTTAACTTAAATCAAGATCTCAACTCAAGTCACCTTAATTCAAAAACTCTAAAAGAATAAGCCTTTAATTTTTTTAACAAGAATTTATCAAGGATTAATTGCAACAGTTAAACAAGTTCAGGAGTCGATTATTAAAATTAAAAATTTAAAGTTTTAAAGAATAATTTATCAAATCACGACAAATTTAAGAATAAATGTGCTAAAAAATTCTTTTTAAAATTTAAAAAATGTTAAAATTCTGGCCATATAGTTTGGCGCTTTGAAAGCGACCTGTGAAACGCTCCAAACCATAAAGAAACCAAGGCCCACATGAAATCCAAAGATTAAACAGCCGACAGAAATAAAATAGGAATTAAAATTGGGAGTAAAAAATAAAAAATTCTTCAAACAAAAAATTAAAGGGTTATTATTTTAGAGCGTAATTTAAGTATAATTTTTGAGTTAAAATTATAACCTAAATAAAATTAAATAAAATTAAATAAAATTAAAACTTAAAAAAATATAAACTTAAATAAAATTAAAACTAGAGTTAGTTTTTTTTTTTAGTTTTTTGAACAGAAGAAAATCTAAAAATTCTTAACCAATTAGGAGCGAGCAATAGATTGACCCTCTTCCGACCACAAATTTCGATACGACTACCTACGTGTCACCCAAATCCACATGTTTTTACTCTAAATGGGCCCCACTTCATTCCCGACCTCTCTTTCTCTCTCTCTCTCCCTCCTCAGCTTTGCTTAGCTTCTCTATTCTCTCTGGAAAACTCTTCTTCTTCTTCCTTTTTCCATTCAAACTTTGACGGCGAAAACAGGACGATTCCTCTTCGCTCTTCTCTGTTTGGATTCCGGGAGAAAATTCATGTTTTCTTCGTGATTTCGTTTTCTCTCTCGGGCTCTCTTTCCGCGGAATTTGGCGATGTGTAAACCGGCCTACGTGTGTGTCCTCGATTTCGATTTTGGCTTCGCGATTTTCTCTTGCTTCTTCTTCCTCAGAAATGTTTGATTGGGACGACGCGGAGGTAAATTATTATTTTTTATTATTTTTTTATTATTTTAATTGTTAGTTTTTTTGGTAGTAAAGTTGAATTTAAGCTGACTTACATAATTTATTTGGAAAGTGAATTTTGTATAATTTTTTTCCTTTTTTATTTTATTTTGTTTGAACAAGTTTTCGCGCCTTTGTTCATTTTCTTTATTTTAAATTGGCTTCTTTTTTACTTGTGTGTGAAATCCATTGCTTAAGTGCAAATAACGATGTGAAGTTGTATTTCAGATAATTATTAGCCATATATATGCAGGAATTTTTCTCTGTTTATTTATTTCTTTTTTCCTTAAAGAAATTTTCACTAATTTGTATGCACAACGTTTTTTATTTATTTTTCATTGTTTTCGGAAAATTCTCCTCAGTTCAGTTGAACATAAAAATTTGAAACTTTATCTGTGTTTATTGACTGGGCAGATGTGCTTAATGAGTCTAAGGACACATACCTCAAATAAAGTCTTTAGTTGCTACCCATTTGGGAGAGGATTTTGCCTGCAGAAACAATAAAGATAGTAGAGTAGGCTTGAATATTCTTTTATTAGGATTGAATATCCCAACTCAAGAAAAGTATGCATTACTTTGGTGAAAAAAAAAAGTAGTAATATGTTCTACCTTTTGTCGAAAGTACAACTTGAAAACAAGTCCAAAAGTGAGTTATATTTGTGGTTTTTTCCCTAATTATTGTCTTCCCATGTTTGTTAAGTCCTATAGTAAGATTTATTAAAAGACAACAAGTGGCCCTTATGGAACTTATTAGCAAAGGTCACAAGGACTTCACATCTGCAGAGCATAATCAATCTGATCCCAAACAAAAGGACAGTCCAGAATCAGGTAAATCTGTGTATTGTAGTCACAGATTTACAATAAGAAATTATCAATAATTCGGGAATTGACTAGATGAGCATAAAAGGTTATTTTATAGACTTTTCATCATGAATCAGGTTTTCTTCAATTAGTTTAAACACGAGTTTAGAATCAATTCAAAGTTATTTACTATCTCGTTAGGTCATGGTGGGGCATATGTCAACTTCGAGGAGGTCAAGAAGAATCATAGGTTTTGTCTCACATGTACTATTGATGCTGCTTTTCGGTTGAGTGACACTTTGGATATCATTGGTAAATTTGAGGCAGGACAGGGGTTTAAGCGTAAGTTCACTAATTCCTCTATGACCATATTGGTGGAGATTTTAGCAAATGTCGGAGGAGAGTTCTTAAAGATTTTGAAGGTGCAAAATGGCGTGGTCAGAAACTTATTCCTTCCAGGAGATGGTTCCAAGTCTGGATGGGGGACGATGAAGGTTAAGCTTGATGCTATTCTGGGAAGGGATTCTAGAGCCTCGTCTTCAATAAGGATGGGGAATGGTAGAGGGACTAGGAAAGAGGAGACTTTCAAGGAAGCTGCCATGAATAGAGGAAAGGTAGTTAATGCAGAAGGTCACCAAATACGGAGTCTTGCTCGAGGAAATCATGATAAGGATTTTTGTAACATAACATCTGCACCCAAGTTCAAAACCTTAGAGCACCAAAGTCTATAATGCAAGAACATAAAAAAATTAAGGAGGGTGGTCTGCAACCATTTGATCTAACGTATTCACGCAGGAAGAACCAAAAAGTTGGAGAAAGCCAGAAGGTTACTCACCACCAAGAATCTGACCCAGAGTCTAGGTTAGAGGATTTAGGCATTCCTATTGCTTTGAGAAAGGGTACCAGATCCTGTACCAAACACCCTATAACCAATTATGTAGGGTATGATCATTTGTCAGGACCAATGAAAGCCTTGGTGTCTAATATGGCAAGTGTGGAAATACCGAGAGATATCCAGGAGGCAATGGAAAAAGCGGAATGGAGACAAGCTGTCTTGGAAGAAATGGGAGCTCTAAAGAAGAATGGCACATGCGACATTGTGAAAAAACCCAGAGATAAGATTCCAGTTGGGTGCAAGTGGGTATTCACAGTCAAGTATAAGGCAGATGGTTCAATTGAAAGATATAAAGTTCGGTTGGTGGCTAAGGGCTACACACAGACGTATGGAATAGATTATCAGGAGACCTTCGCACCTGTAGCCAAAATTAATACTGTTCGAGTTCTGTTGTCTCTAGCAGCAAATTTGGATTGGCCATTGCAACAACTTGATGTGAAAAATGCATTTCTTAATGGTGACCTGGAGGAAGAAGTTTATATGGAGCTACTGCCCGGGTTCAACAAAGATGGAAGGTGTGATGAAGTGTGCAGGTTGAAGAAATCACTATATGGCCTAAAGCAATCACCATGAGCTTGGTTTGACCGATTTACTAAGGTGATGAAAGAGCAGGGATACAAGCAGGCTGCAGGTGATCACACACTATTCTATCAACATAAGGATGGTAAGATTACAATACTCATTGTGTATGTCGATGACATTATTTTGACTGGAAATGGTCTTGAAGAAGAACAAAGACTCAAGAGGAAGCTGGCAAAAGAGTTTGAGATTAAAGACCTTGGGAGCCTCAGGTATTTTCTTGGAATGGAGATTGCTAGAAACAGAAGTAACATTTCAGTCTCACAGAGAAAATATGTACTAGATCTCTTGAAAGAAACCGGGATGTTAGGTTGCAAACCAGTAGAGACTCCTATAGAACCAAATAAAAAAAGGGAAGTTGTAAGGGATAATAGTCCTGTAGACAAGGGCCGCTTTCAATGTCTAGTTGGGAGACTTATCTACTTGTCTCATACTAGACCTGATATAGCCTTTGCAGTGAGTAAAGTTAGTCAATACATGCATTCTCCTATTGAAGAACATTTAGAAGCTGTTTATAGGATTCTGAAGTATTTAAAAGGAGCACCAGGACGAGGTTTATTCTTCAAGAAGGGAGAATATAGAACATAGAGGTCTATACTGACGCAGATTGGGCTGGCGATGTTGAGGACAAAAGGTCTACTTCGGGTTGTACTCTTGTGTGGGGTAATCTTGTAACTTGGAGGAGTAAGAAACAAGTAGTTGTTGCTAGAAGTAGTGCAGAGGCGGAATTGAGATCAGTAGCTCATGGGATTTGTGAGGGTTTGTGGCTGAAAATGTTGTTAGGTGAGCTGAAGGTTGGAGTTATGCTACCTCTACGTGTCTACTGTGACAATAAGGCAGCCATAAATATCTCACATAATCCTGTTGATCATGACAGGACCAAGCATGTGGAAGTTGACCGGCATTTCATCAAAGAAAAGATAGAAGAAGGAACTATTTGCATGACATATGTTCCTACTACTGGACAAGTGGTTGATATTCTGACCAAGGGATTGGCTAAACCCTTGTTTGAAAAATTGATAGACAAGCTAGGTATGTACAATGTGTACTACCCAGCTTGAGGGGGAGTGTAGCTGAGTATGGAATAATTGTGGGGGAAAGTTATTAGTTGACTTTGAATGATTTTCCTAAAGTTTTGGGATTGGTGATTAGGCAGTTTTCCTCTTTTTTGATTTGTTTCCTTATTTATCTTGTTTTCTTTTATTTGTTATTCCCTGGCTTATCTATATAAGGAGGCCGGTGTACATGCCTAGGAATACGAATGAGAGAACTATAATTTTCATTCTTCTAGCAGTGTTTATCCTCTAGTGGATTCTTGCTATAGGTCTATATGACCCTCAATTATTGTTAATGAAGTAGGTAGATGAGGCTCCATCTTTTTTTTTTCTTCCTTGTCTTTTGTTTGTTTGTGTTTGTTTTTAATACATATTTCAATTTTACTAGAGCTTATTAATTGTTACGGTACCTGATGCCTATTTCTAATAAATTACGTTGCTCTAATTGTTTTCATTTCCAGCTTTCTAATAAATTACGCTGTTCTAATTGTTTTCATTTCCAGCTTTCCTCCTATGTACATCTGTAGAAATATTTTCTTTGGTTGATTCATTCATTTGTATAATGGTTTCAGCTAGCAAACATAATATGGGATGAGGCTGCTGAGAACAGTGACCATATTGTTCCTTATCCTAAGGGAACTGAAGATTGTCGCATTAAGAAGGAATGGAAAGAAGAATCTGCTGTAATAAAGCCTACTGAGCAGAAAAGCCCCAGGGCCAAAGTTGATTTGAATGGAAAAATTCCGGAGGGCAGTTCCAGTGTGGTCAAACATGATGGAAATTCTGCCTATGGAATTGGGATGGAGCCATGGTCTGATTTGCCCTTACCTAATGCTGCCAATACTGAACTGGAATCTGTGGATACTGAAGTACCAACTGGCTTAACTGAAATTACAAAATATCATTCGTCAAGAGGTGGTTAAAATACAATTTACCAAAAATCACACTCACATGCATTTGTATTCGTAAACAGAAACCCAAAAGCACACAAAGATAATATCTGTTAGCCCTCTCAAGTCGCAGTAAAAGCTCATTTTAGTGAAGGCGAAGCATCTTAGTTGGTACCATCAAGTGTTAAATGATGTACATAGTTGCAAAGATTCAAAGGGTTTTACACATTTCTTATTTTGTCTAGGATCTTGAGCTTTTATGAATAGAAGAAATAAAAAGTCTGCAATCTAACTGAAAATTTAGGTGGCATTAAAATGGCAAGGAAGCTAAGTAGCACTTGGTGCAAATTATTCATGTGCATGCACATATGTGTGTTGGCTAAGCTCTGAGTGCAAGGTTGAAATGCTGATTGAATTTTCCTTTAGATGATTCTTGACACTTCTATGGCAGGGACAGATCAGCTTGATAAAGATGATGAAATATATCAAAATTCCCACGAAGTTAAAGAACAAGGTAACTTTGTTGACTATGGCTGGGCAAACATTGGAAGTTTTGATGATTTTGATCGTATTTTCAGGTAATGCACGATTAGAACATAATTCTTTTTTTTTATTTTTTTTTATTTTTTTGAAGGATGACTTATTGCATGTTCTAGATACTTTCCTGACTATAGAAAACTAAAGAAATTATTAATTAGAAAACAAAAGAATTATTAAATTTATTCCCACCGAATAGCTTTATAATTTATTTTGACACCATAAGACCATCTCCAATGCAAATGCTAATGCCAATTGTATATTTAACATCAAAAAGTGTGATATAGTATGTTATTTTCATTTGTACTCCAATGCATAATGCTACTTGAAATGCTAAATCTATTTTTTCCCATCATCATTAAGCTTTGAAAGTTGTAAAAGTAAACTTTTATTTTTAAAATAATCAAAAAATGCAAAAGTTGCAATGATTACATGAAAAAGTTATCATTTCAGCCAATAGCGATCAAATGCCAAATTTCCCATATGCTATACTTGATGGGAAATTTGCCACAAAGTATAGCATATAGGACATTTGGCATAACAAATAGCATTGCATTGGAGAGTGTGTTTAGCCCTCAAATGCTAAATTTGTAATTGGCACATCAATTACAACATTGCATTGCATTGTATAATTTGCCCTATTAAAAGAATGAAGCATAGTTGAACTATTAAAGCTGAGGTTCATCTGCTTTTAGAAGACATGGCATGAGTAGCGAAGCTTTTTAATTGTACTGTTAGCGTGCATATATATAAAAAGATTCTGCATGACTATCTTGCATTAAAATTTCTTCATCTTCTTTCTTGTATGCGTAATGGTAGTCATCTAACTAAATGTCCTCACAAGTGATGATTTTGCAGCAACAATGATGCTGTATTTGGTCACGTGAGTCTTGATAATCCTGATGAGCTATGGTCTTCCTCCAGAGATGTTGCTAACAGTGCAGCCAAATCCTTTCCTATTTCTTCTGAGATGCCCATAAAAACAGAATATGTGCAAGATGACCTGACATGTAGCCTCCAATTTGGGAAAACAGATGATTCTACGTCGCAAACTCTGCAGAGTGTTCATTGCATTCTGGATCATGTTGAAGAGGCTAGTGGTAAAAGTAAGCCCATGGCAAAGGAGCAGGTATTGAAGTTAATTTTTGGCCCGCTTTAACTTTGCTATTTATGTTCTTCCTTCAAACCTGCACACCAATGAAATCAGCTAACTATTAATTAACTTTCACAGCCAGATTTGGGCAAGATGGTGCAAACAACAGTAGCAGCCTCTCATCCAGCTGCTGTAAACATTGCAACCCAAAATGAAGTCTCTGTTAAGGTTCCTTCTCTCTCTCTCTCTCTCTCTCTCTCTCTCATGTGACCCCCAACTACCTTGTAATGTACCTTATGAGATATGGACGATAATATATTTCATATGCTTCATAGAGTTAGGGCCAGGGAAAGCTAATTTACCACAGACTAATAAATCAACTTTCATATACGAAGGTCAATGTTTTATATGGTTCTTCCAAATAGCTTTCTGAAATTAGGAAATGTGGAAACAATCTATATGTTCAATACTTTTGTTTCTTGTTGTTGAAAAAAGTGTATGTATGTGTTGTCCCACATGAAAAGTGGATGAAAATGTGAAGTGGTTTATATACATGGAAGGACCCAAGACCTAATAGATTAACCTTGGGTCATGTTGGGCTCTTGAAGTGTGTTGGACCAGTTTCGCATGTGGTGTCTCCCCAACAACTGGTATCAGAGTTGTGGTGATGATTAAAAGAAAAAAAGAGGTCAAGATCCGGGATAAAATTTGAGCAGATTGAGCGATTTGATGGAAAGAGTAATTTCTGCATCTGGCGGAGTACGGTCAAAGATGTTCTGATTCAACAGGGATTACTGAAAGCATTGTTAGGAAAGAAACCAGAAAATATGAAAGATAAGATTGGGAAGAATTAGAAGTGAAAGCGGTAAGCACTATTTGTTTAAGTTTGGCTATTGAGCTAAAATATAGTGTTATGAACGAAACATCTCCTTTCGAGTTATGGAAAAAATTAGAAAAAGTTTATAAGTCAAAGTTTATATTTGAAGATGAATGGAAAAACTGATGTTAGGGATCATATAAATAATTTTAATAAGTGCGTAACTCAATTGTTAAGTGTAGAGGTCAAATTAATGAGGAAGATAAAGCGGTAATTTTGTTGGCCTCCCTACCCAAATCATATGAGATTTTGGTGACTACACTTTTAGTTGGAAAGACGACGTTGACTGTGGATGATGGTTGACTGCTCTGTTAGAGATTGCAAATATGAAAAAACCTAGTAGTATGTCTCATAATGAACAAGTTTTAGTTGCGAAGTCAGATTCAAATAGGGGTAGGAGCAAGTCACGAGGGAGATATTATGATAAGAGAGATGATCGTTCCCAATCCTGCTCAAGAAAGGATATTGAGTAATATTATTGTCATAAGAAGGGAATATTAGGAGAAACTGTGAAGAACTGACGAAGCATCTAGAAGAAAGAAGAAAGCAAGAACTCTATGAGACTTCAGATTCTGCAAATGTTGTTGGCGACAGGTATAATAGTGAAGATGATGTTTATTCTGTTATTGCTGATGAAAATATTTATGACTCTTGAATCTTAGATTTTAGATGCTCGTTTCATATGTGTCCACTTGTGTCCACATAAAGAGTGGTTTGATTCTTATAAGCCTTGTGATGCTAGTACTTTGTTGATGGCTAGTGATTCTAGTGCTAAAGCTGTTAGAATAGGTACTGTGAGGGTGAAGATGTTTGATGGAGTTGTGAGGACATTGACAAATGGGCTTGTTCCTCAACTAGGGAGAAGTTTGATTTGTTTGGGAGCTTTGAACACTTTGGGTTGTGAGTACTATGCTAAGGGTGGTTTTATGCAAGTCAAGAGAGGTGATTTAGTAGCCATGAATGATGAAAAGTAACTTGTATAAGCTTATTGGGACAACAGTTGTAGGTAGAGCTATGAAGGAGAAACCATGCCAAGAAGAATCCGCTTCTATTATGAAAGAAGTTGCAGGAGTAAAAGAGTGCAACAAGATGTTGATAACAATTGACGACTATAAAGGCAAGATGGTGAAGACTTGTGGCAATGAAGATGCTTTGAAGAAGAAGAAGACAGTTCCTCACATCAAGTTTGATGAGAGTTTGAATTTGACACATGTTTATTCTTGTTGAAGTTTGCATCGTCGGTGCTATGACGACTGTCAAGACTGGATACCCAATTGAGCGAGTTGAGAGAGTTTGAGTCAAGGTGGAGATTGTTAAGCAAGTGACTCAAATTGGTTTTGAGAAAGTTACTATTTTGTGTTTTTGGGTAAGTTACTGTTTTCATCAATAAATAAGTGTTTTCATCAATAAATAAGTTACTATTTATGGTTTATTAGGAGTCTATAAATAATTATTTTGTGTAAGATTTTATGTGTGTGCTCAGAGAAAAGTGTAGAGACAGAGTGCCTTCTTTTGAGAGAGAGAGAGAAAAGTGAGGAGAAAGATAGGCAAGGGTGTAAGGGGTTTTGGGTAGAGAGAAAAAGTGAGAAAGTTTGTTGAGCGTGTAATTCTGAAACTGTTAGTGAATTTTTCTCTCTATTCCGTGGACGTAAGAAATTTTTCCAAACCACTTAAATATTTATCTTCTCTATTTTTTTATTATTTTTGTTTTAGTTTATTTTTTTACTGCGTGTGTGTGAGGGTGGCTTTTTTTTTTTTCCCCACACTTGTTCTATGTATTAATGTTAAAACCAATTATGTTATAGAACGGAATGGCTAGCACCTAATGCGCCATAACATTGTCTTCATATTTGCTAGGATATGCCAAGGAGGAACAATCTTGCTTCACAATTTTTTCCACTTTCCACATACTGCCTTTAGGGGAGTTTAATATGTCAGGGTGGTAGAAGAGCATAGGGAGTTATCTATAGCAGTTTTTTGGATTTAGGATAATGGCGGGGCTCAGATTTTATGGAAATGCATAGTCCTGACAACATTATTAGCATTTTGGTTTGAAAGAAATAAACTGGCTTTCAAAGATTGTATTTGCGATGTCTAAGGTACTTATGAAAGAATAAGTCGTGGACTTTAAAAGATGTTCTGAATATCCAGTGTAACTTTATTTGATGAGACTAATTAATTTGATGGAGATATTTCTTTTTCCCTTTATGGAGGATTTTTTTGCCTCGTATTTTGTCTGTTATTTGTTTTTTTTTTTTCAATGATCAGTTTATATTGTTTCTGATTAAAAATATAAGTATTGAATAGTGTTGAAGGAGATATTCGGTATCAATTATACCGAATATTAGGGATAATTAGGCTGATCATAGAAGATTAAGTCAAAAAGCATGATTGAAGAAGATTAGGAAAGTAGCGATTAGGATTGACTTTGTACAGCTATTAACTTTCCATAGTTATTAGTCTTTCCTAGAATAGTTTTTCCCTGTAATTAGTATTTAAGTATACATTGTAAACCTACCGAAGTTGAATATACACATTATTTTCTTCTCCATATTCGTTTATAGATAGCCAATGCATGCTTTATGTATAACCATTGGATTTTATCTTATTTTGTTTCCTCATCTTCTTCGATACAGCTTACTAGGCAAAAGAAACCATTGAAGTCTCGTAAAAGGCTGGAGGAGAAAATTGAAGGGAGGCCACTGCAAGAGTTGTATGGTGCCTGGCCTTCATTGAGAAACCATTCTGGACAACATGAAAACCGATTGGCACACACGACTCAACCTTCTCTCTCTTCAGTTCAGCAGATGCAGCTTCTAGCACCTGAGATTTTTCAGTACCAGCACATCTCAAACCAATTTGCAGCTCATCCTGTCTACGGAAATCTGAAGAATCCATACCTTGCCATGCCTGTGCTGTCTCACATTCAGCCTGGGAAACTGAAGCATCAACCTTTGCTTTCTAGTTGTGATGTTTTAGCTGCTAATAAAAATTCTGCAAAGAAATCTGCAGAAGCTCCTGTAAAACCTATAGTTATGACGCCTCAGGAGAAAATAGAAAAGTTAAGGCGGCGGCAGCAACTGCAGGCAATGCTTGCCATTCAGAAACAACAACAAGAACTTCATCGGCAAATCCCTTCTACCAATCATTCCACCACTCAAAATTTTCCTCTAGAAAATCAAAGCCAGCAGTTTGGGGGAGCGTATCTTAAAATTGAAGACTTAAGTACTTTTCATTGTCTGGAACCAAACTCTCCTGTAGAGCAAGATGATTCTAGCACTATTTCTGCAGCCATTGATGATTATTCCGTGGAGGAAACAATACTTCACAGGCTTCAAGATATCATAAAAAAGGTATGCCCTTCCGCTAATGAGTTGCCCCTTTATAAATGTAGAATGGATATACTTACATCGCTTATGCAATCTGTTTCTATAGTTGGATATCACAGTAAGACTTTGTATACGAGATAGCTTGTTCCGCTTGGCTCAAAGTGCTGTGCAAAGGCATTATGCAAGTGACACAAGCAGTACCAACAAAAGTAGCAAGGAAGAACGTGAAGCTCTTGCAAAGGAGGAAATCAATAGCTGCAGCAGGTTAACAAACTTTCTTGCCTCTGTAGGTTCTTTACATTTCTAACTTCATGATATGGGAATGCAATAATGTAATATGCTGCATCCCTTCGTGCTTCTAAGTAAACTTTCATTTAATTATAAGAAGGATAATTCAAGTAAAAATAGACCTCAAATGTTGAGAAAAACAATCTAGTACAGTTTTCGTAAACACTATTTCTCTTTTACATTATATAAAGAAATTCCGTACTTCAAAATTAGCTTGAAAAGAATTATTTGAAATACTGCTCCCCAAAATTTTCATCAAAATAATATTATTTTGACGTAAGGTCAAAATAGTTCCTACATACTTAAAAAAATAAAAAATAAAGTAAAATAGTGCCCACCATTATTTTAATGTTGTAGCATACAAGTCTTTTCATGAGATTCTATTATGTCTTTTGTACTTTTGCTTTTATTTCCATATTTCTTTTCTCTTCTGAGGCATTCCCTCTTCCAAATTCAAAGAATACAAATCATAAAAAAAACACAGTAACATGGAAAATACCCTGCAAGAAGTTATGCTTCTTAAGAAATTAAAGCTAAACTAAAGGTTTTGCTGGGTTTTCTTTTGCTGATCTGTTAAGGGGTTGGGACATGTTTATTCAATAATTTGGGCTGTTAAGTTTAGCTTTTCTTTCTTGTTTTAGTCTGTCATTCGTCTAATTCTGCTTTTTTAGGTGGACTCCTTTTCCCCTCTTTTTCATTAATAAATTTCTTTCTTTTCTTATCAAAAAAATAAAAATAAAAAAAGAAGAAGAAGAAATTGAAACTAAATTACGACAATAATAGGCAGCAAAGAATACAACCGTCACTATTATTGTTTATTATTATTTTTCTTTCTAGAGCAATTAGGAGGTGCATTAGCTGGTCTTTTCTAGATCTAGAGTTGAGCACTTGCATTATCTTATCTATCCATGAGCTATTGCCACTTGCAAAGAATTGCTTCATTTGGCACTGTTGCCTTGTGATCGTGTAGAATTCCAAAGTCAACTTCATTATGCTGACCTGATTTGTCTGTGGTTGTCTACTAAGGCTTAGAATATCTTACTTTCCCATTATGAAAATTGGGTAATCAATTACATTCACTTACCCGAAATTCTCTTCTCTATTTTAGGTTAATTAGGATATGTTTCTTATTTGTAGGCCTAGTATCGTGGGAGAAAAAACTGGTCTGTGGTTTTTCTCTCCTTTCTATATCTACGTTTTTTCACGCTTGTTTTCAATAATAAAAGGGTTAATAGTTGTGTTAGTCCCTGAAGTGACATTTTGGTCTCTGAACTTTTAATTTAGGCATATTTAGTCCTTGAACTTTCATTTTTTGATAGTTTTGGTCCTTGACAGTAAAATTGATAAACGATTTCTATAATTTAACAAATATAAACATGTGTCCATCGCGTGATAATTTAAAGTTTTACAGAAAGAGTTACGTTATATGCACAATTTTCTCTTTGTTAATATCAAAACCTATTAAAAACTATAATATTTCACACATACTGTAACTGTTTAGGCAAAATGTTTTGTTATTATACAAAATGGATATGATTATCGCGGTTAAATTTAGGCATATTTAGTCCTTGAACTTTCATTTTTTGATTGTTTTGGTCCTTGACAATAAAATTGACAAACAATTTCTATAATTTAACAAAGATAAACATGTGTCCATCGCGTGATAATTTAAAGTTTTACAGAAAGAGTTACGTTATATGTAAAATTTTCTCTTTGTTAATATCAAAACCTATTAAAAACTATAATATTTCACACATACTGTAACTATTTATGCAAAAAATTTTGTTATTATGCAAAATGGATATGATTATTGCGGTTAAATTTCAGAAATTGTTCGCTAATTTTACTGTGAGGGACCAAAACTGCCAAAACACCAAAATTTAGAGACTAAATATGCATAAATTAAAAGTTCAGAGAAAAAAATGTCACTATGCTCAAGTTTTAGGGACTAACAGAGTTATTATCCCACAATAAAATTTCACATTCCAGATTTCTTTTCTTCTCAAACTCCATGGCAATAGAGCGCTCTCTCTGAAACCTAACCGGATGGTAAAATATGGCATAGCTACTGAGAAGAGTAGCACTTCTGACGTGACCTCAGCTGTAGAGGACGTTGTCTCAAACTCTCATGGAAATTCCAGAAGTCTTTTTCCCATTACCAGCCACAAATTCAATGGGAAAAATTATCTCTAGTGGTCCCAATCTGTTATGATGTTCCTTAGTGGAAAAGGGAAGATGATTATATCACCATCGTGCTGCCACCAAAAGAAGATCCTAAATTCAGAACATGGAAGTCTGAAAATCACATGGTCATGTCCTGGTTGATCAGCACGATGGACAATGAAATTAGTAAGAATTTTTTGTTCCTTGCGATTGCAAAGGAAGTGTGGGATGCTGTCAAAGAGCAATATTCCGACAGAGAAAACATTGCTGACTCTTTGGGATAAAGAGTATCCTCCATGATGTGCGTCAAGGAGAGTTGTCAGAATACTACAACATTCTTGCTCGCCATTGGCAACAACTCGATGTGTTTGAAGGACTCCAATGGGATTGCCCTGGAGATGCTGTAAGATACCAAAAGATAGAACTTTTAAGTTCTTACCAGGACCCTACAAAGACCTCGATGAAGTAAGGGGAAGAATCCTTGGAACCAAGCCGTTGCATTCTCTCTGAGAAGCATTCTCAAAGTACGAAGAGAAGAAAATCGGAAGAGGATTATGTTCAGAAAAGTAGAAACCTTAACGATGTCAAAAAGCTATGCCCTTGCAGCACATGGAACACCCTCTCAAGGTAATGATAAACCTTCTCGTAAAGGTAGACTGTGGTGCGATCATTTTCGCCGGCCGGGTCATACGAGAGAAAGCTGTTGGAAGATCCACGGTAAACCCGCTGACTGGAAACCTGCAAGGTCATCTTCTGATCAAGAAAGCCGAGGTCTTCCTGCCACCACCGATGAGCAATCAGCCCCTAAAGCTACTCCCTTCAGCAAAGAACAAATGGACCTCTTTCAAAAATTGGTAAGTCAGGTTCAAACCAGCACTCAAACTTCAGTCATCGGGACAGGTTCTGTAGCTCAAAAAGGTAGTTCTTTTTAAGCGCACTTAGGGGAAAAACTGAGAAATATTGCCAATGGAATATCGACTCAGGTGCTTCTGATCGCATGACTGGTAATGCCTCTCTATTTCACTCTTATTTGCCATTTTTCAGAAAATACAAAGTGCGGATTGCAGATGGATCTTTTTCCCTGCAGTCGGAATTGGTTCTATAGTTATTTCTCATAACCTGACTCTTAAACTTGTTCTATTGGTTCCAAAATTGACTTGTGACCTGTTATTTGTCGGTAAACTCACAAAAGACCTCAAATGTGTTGCTAAATCCGACGGCTTTCTTCCCTCTGAACCTCTGAAACGTCTCCCTGGTTGAGGGTATTATTTCTCGTCCAAGAATTCTACCACACAGCTCATCTAAGTCGACATCCAGCTCAACTAAGAATGCAAACACTCTTTATTTCTCAAGCACCTTCTTCAATTTTTTTTTTATAAGAAAATCCTTTCATTGATCAACCATTTTCTTCAAAAGTGCAATGCCAATGGTACAATGCTACTCATAATCATAAAACAGATCGAGTTCCTACCACAAGGTTTTAAGAGTATTATAGCGTTGAATAGCACTCATATTGATATTCTTGATTTTTGTTGTGATCTCATAAATGTGTTTCGACTTGCCGAGGTTCGAAAATTTCTCCTTCATGGTCTCCTATATCTTCTTTGCCGTAGGAACAAACAGTTATGTCTTGCTGATTTCAGACTCTGTGGAATTGATTGGCCATGACATGATCAATCTGGCTAATTCTTCTCGTGGCCTCGGGGTTGTAGTCGGATACACAAATTTTCCACACCCGCAATGTAGAGTTCAAAGAACTGTCACAATTGGAGAAAACTTCTCTCCATTCAGTTTGTGTGAGATGATCATCTAAGGTGAGTGCTCACTCTCACTAATCACATGGGCGACGGGCTTTACAGGCTCCCCCTTTAGATTTCACTTTGCTGGAAGCACCTGTCATGGTCCTTTTGACCATTATTCCTGCTAATCAGAGGTTGGCTCTAATACCACATAGCAAACATTAGGCTCATTGCACAATGTGTGCATTGATCAAAATCGAGAGAAACTCTCTAAATATATGCAGGGCCAGTGGCACACTAAAAAGGGATCGGAATTGGAGGAATAATAAAGGCTACCTAAGAAATTATAACGAGAAAGTTGACTATAATTTTATAACACAGTATATAATAAGTTACTTCCTAAAATAGTTTTTAATCCCTAAGTTTCCCTCGATCCTCCAAACTCTTTTAATAACGGTGGCTCATCAATAGGATTCGCCACGTGGGGCGAATTCTCAGGGACGCATGGGACCGCCTCCACAGCCTTCTTTGCACGTGGAATCCAGCTCAAAGAAGACTCCAATTTGGAAATATCTTTCGCCTCTTCATCTTCTTCCCCTCTAACGCCACTGACCAGATTTTCTACCCTGTTGACGTCGGTTATGGCTTCTTCACCATACTTCCTTCCTTGCAACACCAGTCGAATTCCAGGATTTTCATCTCCCCTAACTTCATAATTTCCTCCAGCCCTCGCTGTGTATTCTTCAACACTTATAATCAACAAACCTCATGTTCTTCCATTTGACTGGAACTGCCTATTCTCCAAATTGAATAAACCCAGATGTATTTTCTCACCTTGACATGGGACTTCCAAAACTGGTGGCATTAGACTTTCCCTGAAGCCTCTAATTTTGATTTTTGTGAACTTAAGGAAAGACTGGTCCAACGTTTCTTTGGCAACCTCTAGAAGACCTCTGCAGGCATCGCTTACAATCTTAAAGGCATGAATATTCCAAAGGTTCAGAGGCAATCCTTTGTTTCCAATCCAACTATTCCTTGCCTCAATCTGAACGTGCTCCCAGTGAGAGAGAATTGTCCATGGCTCCAACCTCGCTACTATGTTTTTCCTCCAGAGTAGAGATTTCTCCTTTAGCAACACACTTCTTTCTGCATCATCTTTGCACCAAACAATTGCCCTATCAGCAGCCATAGGAACTACCTCCACCTCCCTCGATAGCCTTCTACCAATTAAATCCATAATCATCTTCCAATGAGCATCCACACTTCTCCTTATAACTACCACTGCAGTTCTCCAAGATTTTACCACCTCTACCTTCTTACCATCAGAATGACATCCCTTTCTCAGTCTTACTTCCTCCTTTTCAGCTTTCTTATGACTGCACCTGTTGAAGAAACTTTGAAGGCATCTGCTAAACTTCTCCCAACCTTGAAAAGCAAAAACTCCGCTGGAATTACGATATTCCTTATTTCTCCACTTTTTATCTTCGAAATCTTCATAAAAATACAACCTTTGTTCCTGCTACATTCCAGAATTCACCTGTAGCTAGAACCTCTGTAGAACCTTCTGAAACCTCCATCCTTAACTCTGATAAGAGCTTCTTTAATTGCTGAACACAACCAAGACGCACAACCTAAGTCTACTTGGATTAAAAAACACTGCACTTTATTCCTCTCAGTAATCTCAATCTCACTCCCCGAGTTGTCTAATCTTAAAATGAAAACTTTGTGTTTTGTTCTAAAGTCCTAATCAAAGTGTTTGTACCTCATTTTGTTTAACGGCAGATAGATTTTACCTCAATCTAAGAATTTCTTACGAACCAAAACTAGCTAGAGAAAATTAAAGAAAACGAAATGAATAGACATAGTATTCAAGGACTATGGGGAACTCCTAACTCGGTGATAGTCTATTTTTTCTTCTTTGTTTCTTTTTCACCCAATTTGATTCGTGATTCTGTTTTTTGGAATCGTAAAAACACACATATTTTACGTGGTTTTGTTTGATTTCAAAGTTTTTTAAGAGGTGAAAATATTTAACTAGAAGTTTTCGCCAACGAAAACTAGTTTGTATTCAATTTTTTGGGGAAATTCTTAGACAAATTTAGTTTCTTTATCTTTTACGGGGAATTAGAGCGGGAGGTACTGAGTTCAAACCTCCGTAATTGCACTCTTTATCCCCATTTAAATTGTTATCGCATGTGGTGTTGAGTTTTTAATATATTTCAGGCTTATTATCAAATATTCACGTGTTGGACTTTTTAAATAATTTACCCACACGATTGCCCATTGTCCAGCTCACATGTGAGAGAGATTGTTAAAGTATAAAGTTTTGTTGACCAACCTCTTAATAGCTTAAGCTTTTGGGATATATTAGTAAACTAATTGATTATAAATTTTTTTTTTTTTTTTGGTTAAATTACTCTTATGTTTACTAGATGCTTTTATTTGAATTTTAATTGAGAAGAGAGTGACAACCTAGTTGAGATGTTTTTTTGAGTATTGATGCTAGTTGTCTCCCCTCGTCATTTCAAAAAAAAAAAAAGAAAAATCCTCAAATGAGAAGAAATCAGTAAAAATAAAGAAGAACAAGACAACTGAAAAAACGTGACAATTACTTGAACTATGTATACTTTTTCTAACCTCAATTTAGCACACAACTCTTTACCTTTATATATTCATTTCTGTTAATTAAATTTGAGAACTTATTTTTTTCCCTGAAAGATGCGAAGTCCTTTTCCCCTTTACTTTATCATGGTTGTACTCCCGGCTCCGTGTTATTACTACCATTGTTTGAGAACTCTTGATTTTTCACTGATTATCTTTGGTTGTATCAAATCCTATATGCTAGATTGCCAGATTGTGAAACGGAGACGAATCCCATAGACCGAGCTGTGGCTCATTTGCTCTTTCACATACCTATGGAGTTGTCAGGAAAACAACTCGAGCCATCTGAATCGCCTCTTTCTACTAAGCTTCCAAGTGAGCAAAGAGCAGCAGAAACGATTATAAACTTGCCCGAGACTTTCATTAACAAACGGTGTTTTGGTCACCAAGAATCTAAAGTTTGCTCGCCAATATTAGTCGAGCCTGACCAGTACAAGCACGGTCCATGCGTGGACGCCTCCGCAAATGCCTCAAACAAGGGACTCACATACGGTGGAGCTGTCGTTGCCGCCGTCGAATCTTCTCAATGAACAAAAACGTATTATCCAGTGATCAACAGTAAGGGTAATTCCTCTCTTCAACGTATATTTATTATTGAAGTTGTTTCATTCGCATGGCTTTACGGATTTACCAGTAATGTGAAGTATTCTTTTATTGTCAGCCAACTGGGTCTTATCATTTTGTGCGGTTTCTGGTGCCTGAAAATGACAGACATTACCACAGTGGAGCCTTTAGCATTAAAACAAGCATACAGTTTGAAGAAGAACCAAGTTCAATTCACTATATATCTATTTGTCTATTGTTCTGAGATTTATGACTTTCTGTATCTTTATTTAGAATACATGAGACGCGTAATTTGATCGTGTGTGACTGTGATGGATGAAGGGATGGAGCTAAATATAAGCCACAAACCTAAATCATGAACATAATTGGCAGATTGGTGTATGCTCAATGCCCAAACCCAAGAATTTGGCATTTAATTATATGCTTATGGATTCAGTTAGCTGAATTAGATTCACCAATTAATTCAGATTTGATGGTTTCGTTCTTTTATTTAGGGAAAGTATAGCAAAACAACATATTTTGTTAATGCATTTGAATGATATGTCGTGTTTTTTAAAGATCGGTAAATAATGGCATACCTGCATTTTGAAATAAATTCTCTTTTCCAATTTTACCCGTGGGTTTTCTTTTTCTTTTTTTCTTTTCTTTCTCTCTTTCCTTTCTCGATTTCTCTCTCTCTCTCCTCTTCCCACTTTGCCATATTCCTCCTCCCGGTCTCTATCTCTCTCCCCCTGATCACCATCTCCTCGGGAATGGCACACTCCGGCAACGACGAATCAGTGCTCGTCGGAGCTCACAACCATGGCTGTAATGGTGTTCTTCATGCTCGCGATAGGGAGATCAACTTTAGTACGAGAGCACCAACGACGATCCGAGATCTTCGAGGATTCGTCTTCTCTGGCACACCATCGTGATCGCCATCCTCTTTGCTGGTCCAATGGCGAGAGAGATAAGTGCAGACGAACGCTGGAGAAGTACGGATCTGGTTCAGTGTTCTTGATTTCTGTTGCGATCTGCTCTGATCGGAGGTCTGTAGTGGCGTTGGATTCCGGATGGGTGCCGGATCTGGTCGAATCAGAGCATCGGCGAGGTCATGGACAGTGGCTTTGAGGTCGACAGCTTTTTTGTAGATCGGTGGTGTGATTTGCTGGTTTTTTTTTTTTCCTTAGATCTGAGTATGTGATTGGGTTCTGAGAATTTGTGGATTTTTTATTTTTGTAATTTTTTACATTTGATTTTTTGGTACATTTGTTTGTATTTTTGCGTTATTTCATTATTTTTTGTCTTTTTCTACTAAGATTAGGTTTCTTGCGTCGACGTTGGCATCGGATTTAACATTTGCCGGCACCGTAGTTATATATTTGACTGAATATTATATTTCTAAATAAATACAGTATTTATTGATGAATATTATATTTTTAAGTAAATACGGTTGGATTTTAAAAAAAATATAATGTTATAAGTAAATATTGTATTAATTTATAAATATAATATTTATTGATAAATATTGTATTTATTAATCGTTGGAGTCAGTCGTCGAATTTTTGAATAAATATGATAAATATGTTATTTATTAATAAATATTGTATATATCGATCATTGACGCTTGTTTTTTTATATTCGTTCTTAATTCTGAATTATGATTCATAGTTCTTTATAGTATTTTTTTCACAAAAAATAAACGTAAAATGAGAATTATTCTAAATTATGATTTTGAATACATAAACTAAATGTCATCTAAATTTTTTGATAAATATAATAAATATGATATTTATTAATTGCCGAAATCGGTCTCCGGTGGACTAGGAGGAAAGAGAGAGAGGTGAGGATAAGAGAGATATTTTTGGGTTTTAAATATTATTGGAAGTTTGAGATATTAAGGTGACGTTTGGTTCATGGATTAGAATCATGTGATTAGAATCATTTTTTATTTACGTGTATTTTTTGTGAGAGAAAATACTATAGTGAACTATGAACCATGATTCAAATCATAGTTTGAATTCTACAACCAAACGTCCCCTAAATTATAGTATAAACTATATATTTTTTGAAGACTATAGGATTCTCTAGAGTACTATTTAATTAAATAGAATACTCTAAAAGATTCTAGAGACATTAGAGACAGAATTTTTAACGTTCTAAACTCTAGAATATTTTTAAAGGTTTTAAAAGTGTTGAGATCTTTATAGAATTTTTTAAAAGTCTTTTGAATTTCACAGTACTTATAAAATTTATGAGAAGATTATTGTGGAAGGTTTTAGAAAATATTGTACTTTTAATGTAACCAAGTAGCTTACTAGAAGTTTCTAGGCTTGTAAAATTCTATAAAGATCTAGATAATTTAGTAGGAGGCCTCTTGGCCTATAAATAGAAGGAAGGGTCCTCATTTAGGATTAATTCCCATGGATAGAAATCTCATAGATCCATCCAAGACAACTTCCTCATTTGTTCTCTTTTTCTTGAGTTAGTAAAGCTTTCTTTTTTTGTTCTTTTGCTCTTTCTCTCAACCATTTTTCTAAGTATTTAGAGTTAGTAAGGCCGACTTAACATATGAGAAGTGCTTAGTCGTGTTGTAAAAAGATCGAAACATGACACTTATTTTTAAAAAAGATAAAATTATCCTTTTGTTTTGCAAATAGAGCTTTATTTTTGTATGAAAAAAAACATAATTATCTTCTATTACTAAGTGAAATATTATAAAGTATTCAAAATTCAAAACAAATCATAGTCATCTAACACAATAAACATGAAAATTTTCAAAATAGAAGAGTAAAATATTTCGGCCTCGTTTACTTCACGAATTCGAATTTTCAATTCGAGCTGAGATGTGACATTTTCTGAGAGCTTTTCATTGTAGTAGAAAAAGTTAGATGTGACATTTTCTGAGAGTTTTTTACTGTAAAAACCTAAAACTGAAAACTCGAATCGGTAAAATGAACGAGGCTTTCGACTATAGTCGTGGAGGTTGCCGTTGTCATAACTAAAAGAGACTCTTTACAGGAATACAACAAATCCATAGGTTGGATTAAGTTATGCCATAAAAAATCTTTTTGCATAGAATGATACATCATGTCATATCAGTATAGTTTTATACAAAATATACCCTAAAAAAACCATCAGGTGACCCATGTTATACCAATCAAAATATATCCTAAAGAAACCAACATGTAACCAATGTGATACTAATCAGTAACCGCTAGTGTCCACATTTAGGATTAATTTATTAGGAGGCCTCTTGACCTATAAATAGGAGGAAGGATCCTCATTTAAGATTAATTCCCATGGATAGAAACCCCATAGATCCATCCAAGACAACTTCCTCATTTGTTCTCTTTTTCTTGAGTTAGTAAAGCTTTCTTTCTTTGTTCTTTTGCTCTTTCTCTTAGCCATTTTCCCAAGTACGTAGAGTTAGTAAAGCTGACTTAGCATATAGGAAGTGCTAAGTGCCACATGGTCGTGTTGTAAAAAGATTGAGGCATGACACTTATTCTTAAAAAAGATAAAAGTATCCTTTTGTTTTGCAAATAAAGCTTTATTTTTGTAGGAAAAAACATAATTATCTTTTATTACTGAGTGAAATATTATAAAGTATTCAAAATTAAAAACAAATCGTAGTCATCTAACACAATAAACATTAAAATTTTCAAAATAGAAGAGTAAAATATTTTGACCATAGTCGTGGAGGTTACCATCGTCATAACTAAAAGAGACTCTTTATAGGAATACAACAAATCCATAGGTTGAATTAAGTTATACCATAAAAAATCTTTTTGCATAGAATGATACATCATCTCATTATCACTATAGTTTTATACAAAATATACTCTAAAAAAACCAACCAGTAACCCGTGTTATACAATTAGAAATATGGAATATATGACTTTTATAAATCCGCTGATTCGCTTATGAATATCAAAAGAATAGACATCAATAACCCGTTAATATTATGAAATATTGAGATAATTAAAATATTAAGAGAACTCTCGAAGAATATTATTAATCATCAAAACTTCTATCGCAAAATAATTCAAATAAACTTTAAATAACTAATAAATATATATAATTAGGACAACTACTTCCCTAAAATTCCAAAGCCTGAAGCGTGAATAATATCAATCTAAGCAACATAATTTTGAATTCAAATCATATCTAATAACAATTCAAAATTAACATAATGATTATTCTAATTCCAAAAATACTTCCAACTATGCCACCACATCACTCCGTCCAAGGTGAAAAGAATTTATCCTCAACTTCGAAGTAGCCTCAAGTGATATGAAAAGAGAACAGTCTTCATACTTGAAACAAATAATTTGTTGAGGTTTTCTAGCACGAGCACTTGGAAAATTTTTTCCAATGATGATTGCGCTAAAGGCCTATACATAATCTTAGTCCGTTTAGTTGGAGGATTCGTTATTTAATTCGAATTATAATTTATAGTTCGTTACAGTATTTTCTCTTACAAAAAATACACGTAAATCGAAAATAATTTTAATCTCATGATTCTAATCTATGAACCAAACAGGCTCGACTCATTGGCTTCATTAAAGATGGGACCAAAGTTAATTATTTGGTCATCATCTTCTCCACCACTCTCGTCAAAAATTAGACTACGATCAAATCCTTCACTTTCTTCGTCATCGTCACTTTCATCATAGATTGGACCAAGATCAAAATTAAAAATTTGATATAGTTTGGACCAAGATCAAAATTAAAAATTTGACTTCTTTTTCGACAATTTGGACAAAAATTGGCTTGAGGTTATAAGGAGCGGATGCTATTGTTTTTAACAATCCTATTATTTATGCCATTTAAAAAAATTTGACATCACTGAAATTTTTTTCATTTTTTTCTCCCTCTCTGTTTATCTATCTCTTCGTCTCCCTCACTCTCTCTCTCTCTCTCTCTCTCTTTCGTCTTCTCTCTCTCTCTTGTCTCCCTCACTCTCTCTCTCTCTCATCTTCTTTCTTTGACTCTTCATCTCCCTCTTCAATCGCACCGGCAATCGGAGCTCGTCGAAGTCCACGCCGCTGAAGGCGTCGTCGTCTTCGTGACACATTGAAGATCTCCATTTGACATCTTCTCTCCCTTTCGCTAATGAAGACGTCGCTACTCCGACGACGCGCAGACGTGAGAACCGGCCATATGTCAAGCACATTGGCGTGAGGCTTCATTTTCTTCTTTGCCGCTGCAACTCGACTTCTCCTATGACGGCCGAGTCAACGATCATGATCGATTTTTGTTGAGAAAAAATATTCTAAAAAACATTCTTGCAGAATATGAAGGCTATCTTACTATAATATAAAAAATATTTTATATAATATAAAAAATAGGAAGTTTCGGTCCCTTGATAATAACAATTTTTTATAATTAAAATTACATTAAATTAAAAAAATATGTAGATTATATAGATTTTGATATAAATTTAACAGTTAAAAAATAAAGAATCGTTAATAGTCTATTTATAAATTTAATAGTTAAAAAATAAATTACCACCGATAATCTATTTATATAAAAAATACCAAAAAAAAATCTCAAAAAAAATAACCTACTAACATATTTTTTAATGACTTAAATAATAAAATTTAAAATTGATTAAAAAATTTACATAGTGCTATTTGTTTTTTTATGGCATTTAAATCCATATGCAGAATTAAAGAAATAGAAATTGAGTATTCATCATAATTTTCTCTCTCTCTAAAAATAGATTACATATAACCTCTTATTTTTTAACAATTAAATCTATTTTAAAATTTATTTATTTTATATTTTTTTAATATGATATAATTTTATTCAAATTTAATGATAAAAATTGAGATTATTAATAAAGCGGACTATGAGAGATATTTTTATTTTCTTAATATTTATTTATTCACGATATCTGAAAAAGGCCAAGCCAACTAAACTGACATATTCAATCAATGGCTCTCACTCCAACTACTGTTGCGATTACGAGTGGGATAGATACTCATCACCTCTTTCCCAAAATCCTCTCCAATTTCTATTCTCCATCCATTTCTTTCTTAAAATCCAAGCCAAATTTCCTCTCCTCAATCCCACTGAAACTTAACAACAACAAATTCTCAAATAACAACGAAGTTCTAATTGCAGAATCTTTCAAGTGGAGAACCCAAGTTTCTTTCTTCTCTGGTTTTCTCACAAAACCAAAAAACGACATTCAGAGCCTCAAACAGGAGCTGTACGACACCATAGCTCCTCCACTTGATAGAGGCGCCGGTGCTACTCCCGAGGACCAAGACCGCGTAGAACAGGTGATATATATCCATTTGGGTTTTACCTTTTTAGGAATTTCCAATCCGTTTTAACCTTTGGTGTACCGATTCTCCCAACAATGTTAGTTTGAGAAATTTTGAAAAATGCCATGGAAAAATCTCATATTTGGATTAATGGGATGGATATTGGAGTTTTAGATTTGTGCCATGTAAATGGCTTGTCAAAAATCAACAAAAGGTGATATGAAATCCGAACAAAAAAGAAGGCCGCGTAATTTAAAAAAAAAAAAAATTGTTATTTAATTACAAGTAGGAAACATCGTTTCACCGATTTAATTTTTAATTCTAATTTTATTATAGTTAAAAATTCTTATAAAAAGTCATTTTTAACTTTTTATTACAGTTAAAAACTCTCACATAAAATCGCATATCAACTCGAATTAAAAATTCAAATCAACAAACTGAACGAGACTAAAATATTGAAGTATGATAACAAAGAGAACACAATTATAGAAGTTTGAACGCAATACTTTAATACCATGTTAATTTATCAATTATTCTAAAAGTTCAAATTTAAAACTTCAATTGTGAAGAAGGGGCCATCAATATTTTATATTAAGCTCAAAAGCTTATACTGTTAAGCGATAAGCTAATTATTTTTATATTCAAATCAAGAAGAAAACACTAACTGTGAAAAAGAAAGCCTATAGGAACCTAAGTGAACTTGATTATAGCACACTGCACACACAAACCTTGGTAACTGGCTTGTGTGTGCTTATCTTGTAGTCTACTATGCTACTAAAATACGAAATCTTTTTAAGGTCAGTTTAGTTTGTTGATTCGAGTTTTTAATTTGAATTAAGATGTGATTTTATGTGAGAGTTTTTTACTGTAGTAAAAAAATTTGATGTGACTGGTTCTGAGAATTTTTTACTGTAGTAAAACTCGAATCAGTAAAATAAACGGGACCAATACGGTTTTAACACTATTGGTCTTGAACTTTTCGTAAAGTGATAATTTGACCACAAAACTTTTTTATTTGCCGATTAGTCACTGAGCTTATTATTATGGCAGTTTTGGTCCCTATTGACGACAAATGTTTGAAAGATAGTCACGGGCCATTGCATGATAACTTGAAATTTTATAAAAATAGTCACATTGAATGCAAAATGTTTGTATTTTTAAGGTTTCTCAATGTATTGAAGAGACGGTTTTATGGTTAGAGACCAAAATTGCTAAAAAAAATATCGAAAATAGAAGAAAATAGGCCAATATGAAAAACTTAAGGAAGTATATAGGTCAATTTTTAGTTATAAAAATTAATAAGTCATAACTTGTTAAGTTATGGTTCATAATCAGATAAGTTATGGACAAACTTGTTAAGTTATATTTCATAGTCAGACAAGTTATGGACAAAAACCGTGGTTTATGGACAATAACTTGTCAAGTTATGGTTCATAACCAGACAAGTTATGGACAAAAACAGTAATTTGGTCTATTTATTAACTTATGTAAACTATTGGCCTATTAATTTTAATTTATCTCAAGTCTTGACCTATTTTTCTCTTTCTCCTAAAAAATATAATAATAAAATAAGTTTACAGACTGATCGGCAAAAAAAAAAAAAAAAGTTTAGAGAATAAACTATCACACTTACATGATACTATTGGAAGAGTGATGTTTGTTATTTCCATGATTTGTACATTGGTTTTGATCAGATTGCACGCAAGCTTGAGAAGTTGAATAAAATAAAGAATCCTCTCAAGTCCAATCTGCTGAATGGAAAATGGGAACTTCTATATACGACATCCAAATCACTTCTGCAAACACAAGTATGGTGGCCTTTTCAGTTACGCTTTTCTGCTGACTTTTGTGTTGTTTTCCTATAAATAATTTCTATGTTAGTTGTCGAGTTGGGTTCTCTTAGATCAGTCTTGAATAATCTTCGAGATTGTTGACTTGTATTGTTCATATTATTGCTCATTAAAAGGCTATTGTCCTATGGTCCATGTAATTTCCAATAACTCTGATAGGGAAGAACATCTTTGGATATATAAAAGTCGGTGTTGTTATTTTCTTTCCAGGCTTAAGCCCCATAAGTCGCGCGTCGTGGTAAATTTAATAGATCGGAATTTAGACCAGAAAAGTTTATGGTTTCCTTGAAGATAAGAAGATACAAATAGCATTGCAAGCGTGCTTACATCTGGTGCAGATATACCTTTAAATAGTACTACCAGGATGAAGTTAAGCACTGCTATAAATCTACAGTTGATTGATGCAGGAAACAGTTCTCTTTATATGGACCATACTATTTGTTTTTCCTTTTTTTTTCATGTAATTTTACAAAAGAGTTCTCTTCATGTAATTACGCTCAAAATTTTATATGTAATCATGCATGATATTCCCGTTGCAGAGGCCAAAGTTCCTAAGACCGAATGGAAAAATCTACCAGGCGATTAACGTGGATACGTTAAGGGCTCAAAATATGGAAACATGGCCATTCTTCAATCAGGTTATTCTTGTTTATATAGCTTTTTAACATTTTGGTTTATTCTCCAATGCAGCATGCGTTAGTATCATTATCCATCTCCTTCTCTTGATATCTTGGTAGGCAACAGCTAATCTGGTACCTTTAAACTCAAGAAGGGTGGCCGTTAAATTTGATTCTTTCAAAATTGCTAGCCTGGTAAGTAATATCATGCTAAGCTTATCCCTCTTTTCATTTTGTTTTTTTTATTTTGTATCTTTTTTTCTCTTCGAACAATATTTGGTTTCTTAGGCAAAGAGTTTCAACACTTAAATAAAGTAATCAGACGACCGTTTTATTAACTTACTCATGACAAATTTAGGCCGAACTAGTATACTAAATTCACTCTTGAATACTAAGCTGATAAACCGATGGTGTTGGCCTGAAGATTAAATTGTGCCAAAATATAAGCAATTGTTGAAATGATCACTTCGTAGAAATAAGAAATATAGAAAACAACATGGAAGCAGAAATAAATGGGCGTCAGTGCTAAAGAATAGTCTTTTGGTGTACATATTTTAGACAAAAATATAGAATATAGAGTCGAGATTCAAGATGATGTATTCGTTTAACGGTTGGGGTACCACAAGTGAATTACGATAAATATTAGTTCAATCGTAAAATTTGACTTTTCTTGTTAAAGAATATATTTTCTTTTGGATTTTTAGATCTCTTGCGGAGTTCTTGGAACTTTTTCTGTGCATAATAGACTAACGATTTTCCGTCGTAAGATCTATGAACCGGGAATCTGTCTCTTCTCTTGGAGGCTTTGATATCTTTTGCCTTCCATACTAGCTTGTAAGGGGAATTGATGAGTGAGTTTTACTCGCTCATTTAGTATTGTTTTACACTTAATATCTAGTTGGTTTTTGAGGGTTTTGTTAGTTTTTATGTTTGTTTTTGTTCTTTGTGATTGTTTGGCCAACTATTACATGATTTTGTATTTGATTTGAGACCGAGAGGTGATTATTAAATAAGTTCTTAACTGAAATACCATGAGTTGTTCATAGTATAGAGATATTTATGATGCTTGAGCAGTTCTTTTAAATTTCTTGCACTTAATGATTTTCAACAGGTTTAGAAGTCTGACAGAGATGTAGAGTTTGCTTGTTGGATTAATATTATTATTGTTTGAGAAAGAATAATAATTGCTTTAAAGAAATTGCTATCAGTATATGATTGAATGTTAATTTTCTTAAATTATGAGAATTTGAACAGGATTAATTTTGGTGAAATCGGAAACCCTAGAGTCTTAATCTATTGAATTTTCTTCCATTGCTTAGCATTGTTTAATTTATTTAATCGTTTTAGTTTTACTTAACTTAATTTTATAAACTCTATTTTGGATTATTCAAATAAAATTAGGGTTAATATAATTTCGGTAATTAGTAAACAATAATTCTCGTGGGACGATATTCTTATTCACTATTATATTACTTGATTGCGATAGCATATACTTGCGTTACGATTTTTCACAACAGGAATCTGTTTTCGTCGACAGAATTTGTTTGACACTAGTCCTGTTGTGCTTCACAGATTCCTATTAAATCTCGTGGAAGTGGCCGTGGTCAATTGGAAATTACGTACTTGGATGAAGAATTACGGTTAGTTTTGATAACTCCCACTCTCATTGTTTTGAATTGCAATAGAAAGTTATCAACTCAGAATTGCATTAATCAAAAGTTACATCTTCTATATATTCAGATATTCTGTATTTTCTTGATAACTTTCTTGTTATCCTTTTTGTTCTTTGGCATGTGCATACAGTCTTTTTCTATTATCCTGTTAGACTTGGAAGGGAGGGGCTGAAAACGTATTATAGGCGTAGGTTTAAGAATTAAGAACAGGAGCAGTTTGGTAAATTGACAAGGTCATTAGTGGGAGACTGAGTTTAAGAAGGTTGTTAGGGGAAGATTAGAGTTTTTCATGCATGTTTTGGAAAGTATTAGCAGTAGATTAGAGATTATTGGAGAGGTGTGGCCTAACTCTCGAATCAAAGGTCATTTATTTCTTTCAATTTCTATTTGATTTCCAATTTGATTTCTATCATATCCTTGGATCTTTTTTCAGTGCATAATAGCTTGTAACAGAAAATTTCTCATACGATTTTCTTTTCGCAACATTTAATTGGAAATATCGCATCTTCGAAGCTTTCTTTATCTTTTTCTGTCCATAATATACAGCTTGTAAAGAGAATTCGTTTGTGTCTAAAAGGATTTGTTATATTTCTATTAAAAACCGTCTTATATGCACATGTAACTTGTGTTGTCTTATTATTTTCTTTGTTATTCTCTTTTTAGTCTTTTTGGTCTTTGTTATGCATAGTGATGCTTTTTATCTTTTCCATCCAGAATATCAAGAGGTGATAGAGGGAACCTTTTCATTTTGAAAATGGTCGATTCATTCTATAGGGTTCCTCTTTGATAATGCCTTTGTAAAGTTTGGGGGTTTCACGAAAATCTCAGATTTTTCTATTTTTAGCAGAGTCATAACTAAGTTGTAAATTGCGCGTTCAGTTTTCGGATTTTCTTTTTTTCCCAAATATGTTGCTATTTGTATTTTAATTATAGCTGTATAAAAAATGTAACAAATTAAAAGAACAAGCGAATGATAAACACATACTAAAAGTATGTCATATAATAGAATAAAGGTTTGTGGAATAATATCGTGACCTTTTATTGGTTTTCTATGAGATATATGCAAGCGTGAAAAATACAAATATTGTAAATTTCTACCTCTAATGACTACTAATATCAAGGGCTTCAAAATAAAGTTATTACAAATATTATACAAATTATTAAATTATATCTTAATGCAAGTAATAAAATGAGATGCGTTTGTTTGTTTGTGATCTGGAATTTCTATTGCTGGTTTTTCTGAAGGTTATTGAAAGAATTCTAACTCTCAGACAACCGAAATACCATGTTTGGAGTCAACCTTTTGCAATATGAATACTAATACCAAAAGTCGAACTTAATTAAGAGATACTAATTACACATATAAGATATAAACCTAGGCATATATGTTTCGAAAAATATCGACATATTTATCGCAATTAAACTTTTTCTATAGTATGTTTTTTCTTTCTTTAGAAAAATAAGTATTTTAAATATATTTGAGATTTGGAGTTCTCCACTTTTTTTTTTCCCATGTTTTGTTCTTTTTGAGCAACTACTATAAGGACATATGAGATTTAGTGCCTAACTAATTTATTTAAAACGAGAGGCATTTATTTATTTAACTTCTAAATAAGTGCACCTAAAAAGTTCAGGAGGTGAACCTTGAGATCTACTAGAGATCAATAAGTACGTTCAGTGACATACTTTACTTTCCTAAACAAGTGACACAATCCATTTTAAAATTTAATATCATGGCGCCAATGCTAAAATGAAGATTAGATCAGTTACTTTCATGGATGAAGATGTCCACGACATTATAGACATTTTCACCACATTATTCATGTTTTGAAGTCTTGATATAGATAATAAAAGGAAAGATATTCTTCTCAGAGTATCCGTAAAACGTCTAAATATCCACAATATTCAAAAATATCCACAATATTAGCAAATATCCGTTAATGGCTATGATATTTTTGAAAAATGTCCAAAAATATCAGAAAAATCTTCTTTTTTACACAAAAATTAATTTTGTAGTACCTTTTTTCTCTTCTTTTTCAATAAAATGTGACAATTGAGTAGTAGAAAACAACATTAGAAGACGTGAAGCAACTCAAATGAGTCAAATTGATGAGAATTTTATTGAATTTTGATTCATGAACTTAGAAACTAGACAAAGTTCATATTTCATATAACATATGGTTATATAATCCATATAGTTCTCACATAAGGCCTAATTCAGATGTACAAAATCAATATGTTTTCTTTGATATATTAGTGTATCATCCACTATAAATTAGTGTTAAAATGTCATTACACATCTATAAATACTACTCAGCAAGTTGGATAAACTAACAATATTCAATTTATGATTTAACGATGGGAAAAATCAAGAAACATATATGTAGGTATTCAAGAGTAATATATTGATAAATATATTGTTTAAATTAGAATTGAAACCTACTTAACGCTTTTAAACCTGTTAAAAACTTGTTTTGGTGTTAAATACAGTTAAAGGCAGTTACTCTTATGTACTCTATTATACTATGTGACATAGCTCTCATTTCTTGATAAAAAAAATATATTATTTTTATTATTAAATTAGTTTAAATTGTGTAATATTAATAGTTCTGACATTTTGTAGAGTTTTAACAAATAAACTTTTAGATTTTTTAAAAAATATTAATTTTTTCTCAGAATATCCATTAACATTATCTGTAAATCACAACTTTCGACAACTCTATCAACATGATATTTTCATTATTGATTACTTTAGACATATTGAGGCGCAGATTTTAAAAAAAAATCTACTCATGAGTTTATTTTGTAGATTCGAATTATTGTTTCACAAAATTTAAATTTATGATTAAAAGCAAACGAGAACTGCCGCGCCCAAATGTCAGAAGACACGGTGTAGGACAGACAGGTCAAAGCCACAACTTACGCTGGAACCAGGAGCAAACTCAAATAGGCGACGTCATCAAGTCAAAGGATGACGTGGCAGTTTGAATAAATGAATATCATAAATCTCGTTCCTTTTACGCATTCAAGCTTTTTAAAATGTGATTTTTTAAAAAAAATTTAATTATAATAAAAAAATTAAATATGATATTTATTAACAATTTTTAACTGTAAAAATTTACATTTTAAAATTTATGACTTGTTCTTTTGAGTGAAAAATTCAAAAAAAATCAACTCGAATTATAATTTTATTTGAGTTCATATTTTTTTAAGTTTAAACTCGAGTTTAAATTCGAGTTCAAACTCGAGTTTATGACTAAAATTCAAGTTCAAATTTTTCCTTCAACTCGAACTCAAATTAATGAACAATATTTTTTCTATTCTTAAAAATGCTATAACTTTTTCGTTTTAATTCTGATTGAGATAATTTTTTTTCTATGCGTTGACAACAAAAAGACGAATAAAACCCGACGTATATACTCTATTAAAATTTTTCATCAGCATTGAGTTTTTATTAAAATACTATCTAAATACAAATTCAAGTTTTGACTCACTCAAACACAAACTCAAAAAGATTCTTATCTCAAACCATAACTTAAATGTATACAACTAAATACAAACTCAAGTTACAAGTTTAACTCAAGTTATAACTCAAATTCAACTCAAGAATTATACTCAAGTTAAACTCTAAAAGAACAAGTCCTTAAATTGTTAAAATAAATGAGGATTAAATTTAATAAAAGTTTTTTTTTCCTTCTTATTTTATCAACGGAAATAAAATCATTCACAAGACCAAAAAGAAGAGAGAGAGAGAGAGAGAGAGAGAGATTGGAGATGGAGTTGGAGGAAGAGAGAAGGAGAGGAAAGAGAAAGTCTTCATCATCATCATCATCATCAGCAGCAGCAGCAGCAGCTCTAATAAACAATCTTGACGATGGCTCTCTCATGCACATCTTCAGCTTCCTCTCTCCTATCCCAGGTACCCCCTTTTTCTTTCTTCAACATCACCATTTACTATTCTTTTGCTTTTCATCTTCCATTTTTAGGGTTTCGTTTTTTCCCCTTCAAAGGAAAGTAATTTCCTATGAAAGAAAACAATTTTCCTCGATTCACCTCAAATTTTGTAGTTTGGTGAAAATTGACCTCAAATTTTTTTTTTTTTTTTTTTGGCCTTTTTATTGAGACACTGGACTAGGAGAATAAGAAGAAGTTCAATTGGACACGACAATTTGACAGAAGATAGAGGAATTATCAAATTGAATGGAAAACGGCAATCTTTTTTTTTCCCCCAACCTTTTGGGTAGTTCTGAAAATGTCTTCTTTACCTTAGTTATATTATAACTTTACGAGGCAACAATATTGAAGATGTACAGTTTGATGGAAATGAGGAGAAGGGTTGCTGCCTAAGTTATCTTATAACGTGCCGCCATTTATAATTTGTTTGTTCCAGATGTCTTTCTTGGGCATTACTGAAAAAGAGAAACTTCACTTGGATATAATATTCTTGTTGAGACTATAACAAAAATCTCTTATGCATTCGATTATAATGCTGAAATCTACTCCGCATCTTCAAAAATGCTAAGATTATTTATTGTGTTTTATTCATCATATAAAGTTCACTCTGTGTCTGATTTAGTCAAAATTACCTTTTATAAAAGAAACAAAGTTTATAAACCACAGATCGTTACTTTGATTTTCAGTTTTTCCAACATTTGAAAGTAATGAACCGTGGTTTTTCGAAAACTTTGATTTCTGATTAATACTCAACAAAGCTGTTGTTCTTAACATTAATGTACCTTTCTTTTATGGAAAATAAAAAAGTCTTTTCACCCAGCTAATTTTAATTTGACATTAGGGGTGAATTTTGTATGCTTAGAAAAACATGGGGTGGATTCCCACATTTCAATTAAGCAAATGGGAGGTTTCACAAAGATTTTACATAGCTTGATCATCTGTAGTTCCTATGTGATTCTAGAGGAAACCAAGATTGGTTCTGTCAGTATTTCAAATTTCAATATTCGAATCACATTGAAATTCTCTTATATAGAGTAGATATGAAGTGCGTGTATGGAGTGATTTTACCCAGTTTCTGTCACAAGTTGCTATTGAGTTTGCAGATCGGTATAACACCGCCCTGGTTTGCCACAGATGGAAATACTTGGCATGTCATCCTCGACTGTGGTTGCGAGTAGATCGATCTGTCACAGATTTATCAGAGCCTGGTGCTTTTCCCAGCATTGAGACAGCTGTTGCTGCTGCAAGGTTTGTAACTTAGAAACTGTCACTGTGGTTTGTCTTTAAGGAAGTATTAAACTTTGATGGATTTCATTTTCGTTTTCATTACAGGGCCGGCGACACAATTCTAATTGCAGCTGGTGGGAAGCATTTGGCCTCTAATATTCAAATTAAAAAACCGCTTTGCCTGGTATTGCTTCAAGTTCTTCAAAACATTGTTGTGTGCATGCTTGTAATTTCAAATCCATTGGTCTGAACGGGCGGTATTATTTTGTTGTTGAAGCATAACTTTTTATTGTTTGCCAAAAGAATTTTTCTTTTTCCAAACATCTCTGCGGACAAGGAAGTGTGTTGTGACCCAATTTTACTGGCCTTTTCTAGGGTAACTGCACTTGTTTTGATGCAACTTGCGAGATAGAATTGTGTTGTGCTATAGAAAGCTTGTCTGCTTTTTGGATCAGGATAGTGGTAGTCCTCTACGTTTTCCTAGCTGTCCTTTCCATGGAGATGTGTGTGTGTGTGTGCACGCGCGCGCGCGCGTATTGTTTCCTAGTGAGTTAAACCAGTTCTCTAAGTGTCAATAGCAGCCTCTGATTTTGTGATTATTTGTTTCTCGAGCTGTCTGTACTGGAATGTATGTTTTCAACTCTACTTGACATAGTTGGGCAACTATATAGCTGTAAGCTACAATAGGTTTACCCCAGCTTTAGTGGTAGCTTCTAGTATTTCATATACAGAATTAGTTATAACAATTCCTTGAATGCTCATGGCAAGGAACTCATGGCTAGATTCTTAATTTTTCGAATTTCTGGGTGCTAATTCATGTCTTAACAACTTACATTCGGTGAAGCAAACTATTGAAACTGCAAATCATGCTTGGTGAATTCTTGGATATTTGAAAATTGTTACTTCTCTGTCAAGTATCTTACTGCATCCTCCCTATGGAAAATAATGAAAACAAATTAAAAGGACAGAGTCACTGCATCCTCCTTTTTGCAAAGTACATGATGAAGTAAATAGATCAAAACTTCATTCTCATAGTTGATGATCTTCTCTAACATATGGTTGTCATGATTGTCTTAATCTTCTCGTAACAGAGAAGAGCGATAACTTTTACAAGCAATAAATATTGTTATTGTTACCAACTTCCCTCTCAAGTTATATCCTTTTCAGATCGGTGGAGGTGAGCTGCCTGACGAGACGACTCTCATCTGTTCTCGAGGTTCAGACAGGTTTGCAACATCTACATTTATGTTTTGCCTTTTTCTTTCTTCTCGATTATCTCTTGTGGCTATACAAGATCTACTCACTTTTATAAGGCCATTATCTCTTACATTTAACTGCTATGTTGCTTTAAGATCTCTTCTCGCTTTTAGAAGTTTGGCCTAAATTGTAAACACACGAGGTAATCTCAACATTTTTTTTTAAAAGACGGAATAGATTCTTGTATTTGGATTAAACATGGAGGAGGGGAGGTTTTTATTATTATCCCAAAACACAATGCTATACCTTTTCATTACGGACAACAAAATATCATGGTAGAATCTGTTCATTCTATTTGGTGGCAGTGCATTGGAATTCCTGTCTACCTGCAAACTAGCAAACTTAACCGTTAAGGCCGAGCTTGGCTGCTGCTTGCTTCATAGAAGTGGAAGGCTTACAATTGATGATTGTGTGCTTCAGTGCGAGTCAAATCCCTTGGACTTCCTATCTTGTCCCATCGTGAGCACAGCCAGTGGCCAGGTGTTCTCTTCCTCTATGAAGAAATACCATAGAGACAGTGTTTCGGTTTCTCAAACACGAATCGAAGGCGGCGCCAAGGCCGTATCAACAAGTGGGGACCTCGCATTGCAGCGAGTTAGAGTAATTTATGCTCGGACTTCTCTCTTTTTCTGGTTCGACATGGAACATCAATGATGTCTTGTATTTGTTGTTGGGTCTGTGTAACATTATCTTACCATTTGAACCGTGTTTATATTGTTGTAGTAATAGATTCAATTGTTTCTCAGAACTCTCAATTTTATATTCACAGGGAAAGAAAAAGACGCGTCTGTGTGTTAAGAGTTCTTTTAGATGCAATTGTAGATAACCATTCTTTCACCAGCCAAAAAAAAAAAAAAAAAAAAGCCACGACAACAAAAATGAATAAAAAATAAAATAATAAAAGAAAGATGATGTGCGTGTCAAATCTGGGGTTGGATTTCTTTATGCGTCCAACAAGAACAATTGGAGATTCAGATTCATGAGAAACAAATCATCTTCAAAAGAAATGACCATAATAGATAGATCCTTGGAAGTCATTGCTTGTGGATAGGGGTAGCTATGTCAACCTCTTACTAGTAGAAAGAAAATCACATAATCTAGTTATTATAAGAGGAAAAAGACACACCAAACAAAGCCATAACAAAAAAAATACACAGCACCTCTTTAAGGGTAAAAGGGAGGAATCCAGAAATAAGAACCAATTACATGTTTAATGTCGTGATAACTCGCCAATCAACCAAAATGCATTAATTTGACGGTAATATTTTAGCATTAGTTTGGTAAAGAGTAATAGCTTAACATAAGCAAAATAAACTAAACAATATCATACTTGCCAAAGGCATGTCTTGTTGATTTGGTTCCACATATCTTCCATAATTTGAAAAAAAAAAAAATCTAAACAAATTTGAAAACTTCATCATAGTAAATATAAAATCAGCTAAATTCAAACCCGTCCATAAATAATAGACATAGACACTGAGTGTTAAATGCAACAAGATCAGTAAGCAAATACAAAAAATGTTTCCACTGTTCTATATGTGCAATATGCATAGTTTTGTTCTATATGTGCAATATGCACAGCTTTGTTCTAGAAAACAGCACTCTGCGAAGGCTCTTCGGCAACCGCAAAAAAAGACCTTCCTCTCTGCTTCAGCTCATCAGTACACATCTAAGTTCCCTAAATCGCCACAAACACAAAATTGGCCAATTTCTTTTTGCACAGTTTAGTTGCTGGTTCGATCTGCTAAACCCCTGGATTGCGATGTTTTTACGTGATTCGTCCCCGCAATGTAAATTGTAAAGAAATATTCATGAAGGTACCAACAAATTTTGATTTGGTAGCCATCCAATTCTAACCAAAGTAGCTCGACATTCATCTGAAGCAAGCATGTCATGATGTCATATCCTTCCATATAAGCTACTTAGAAGTCACAGCAGTTAGCAATTTATTCACGATACATTGATAAAGGAACAAGCAAATGTCAAGGTCACAAGAAACTCCAGAAAGCATGTAACATGATAACGTGAAGAAATTTCAAGTTTCTTTCCTTTTTTTTTTCTTTTTTTTTTTTTTTTTTTTTTTTTTTTTCC